TATACCAATATCATAGGTTTAGTGCATTTCTATCCACCAGACTTAAGCTGTACTTATGGTGCATAATTGTTGTAATGTGGAGATATCCATTTAATCATTGTAACGCTTTGTGAAGTTGATGTCAGTGAAGATAGCGCCAACAAAGTTTATTCTAGAAAAAGACTGGAACGTAATTATACATAGACTAAAAGAAAAGACACAGCGCCATGGGTTTAACTGAATTGTAACGTACAGAAGGAAACTAATTCGTTCAAGCACCAGGGATGGGGGCCTAAGTGGAGTGGCCTATACTGGAATGTTCTACGAAAATTGTGACAACTACAATAAACAACAGAACGCTAAAGACGGCAGTAGTCTCGAGACACCGTCACAGCTACAGACACTTTCTATTGAAGTGTTCTTTTATACACGATATATGACTTATGCGGATGATATTTTTATCTTCCGTTTTGAAACTTTGAGCCACTTGCAACCATCTGCTCTCCGAATTTTACCAAATTCCAATGGTAACGGGCACAGCCAGATATAAACATCGAGTCTGGTGACCGTCATGGCTGTTCTGACGTTTGAAAGGTGATGGACCATAGCTGCCTGTGAGGCAGTAACGGTTCAAGAAACAAATCATCTTAGGAACTGATGGCGTGACACAAATTTGGTGCACGTGTCCTACGGTACGCAAACGTACCAACTTCCTGTTCCCTATCTGGCACGCTTCTACACATGTAACACTCAGTTACAGAGACAGACTTGAATGTCGACATCTGACAGAAAATGTCCACATTTTACTGAGTGCAGCAGATGTAAGAAACTCTGCTTTCAACCCATGGATTAGAACAACAAAACGTCATTAATATCCCGTGGACAGAAAGGTGGCGTCATGCTAAGACGTTTGTTGCCTCGTTTAAAAGGAAAAAGCTGGAAAAAGAGGACAAATGGATGGGCCAATACAGCGGTGCCACGTCACACGTGGCTGAACGCGTGGCCCCACGGTATAGGCCTTTTAGTCTTCAGAAGATCTTTGGACGATCGCAACAGCCAATTGGACTTATAAAATGAGCGGCAATAAACTGACACAAATCAAATATCAAATGGTTGACTTGGAAATGGAAATTTTCTGTATTTTGTACGTAATACCTATGGAGAACATCAGGTGACTATACCAAGAAAGATTCAAACTGAAGTCCAAATTAATGGTCTACAGTAAATATAAAGAAACTTTAGCAGTAGAAAATATGTTACATAAAAAACTTCACATAAAAAACTTCATTTGAAGCCGGCAGAAAGGTCAATCTCTGCTCAGTTTAGAGCCAGAGTACTACCACAACTTATTAAAACTGGTCGGTTTGTTGACAAGATCTTGGAAGATGACTTTGCATGCTTTGAAATGAACAAAAAGGTTAAAGGCGAGTATCATTCCTTTTTTTGTGCTCAATTTATGAAAACTCCAGGAAAAATAGTACGAAATGGGAAAATGAGCGATAGGAAGCTATTGTATAATAATTGGTTCTTGGGCGGGTAATTAATGTCTAGTCAAATTATTGTGATATTATTTCTTTTAAGTCTGTACTTATGCTATAAAGGATTTATTGTTGGTTTGAATTATTGTTGATTTGGAATGTTATATTTTAAATTTAGATTGTTAATAGAATTATGTAATTGTGAAGAATGCTGGACACACACACACGCACACACACACACACACACACACACTTATAGTAATATGTTACGAAGGTTAAGATAGTTTTAGATATTATTTAGGTATTTATTATTTAGGTATAAGGTATTCATTTAATTATCATTATTTATTTATTGCATACGTTTTGTATTCAGGCAAAGATACCTTTGTTCACTTTATTCTTCACCTTTTAATTCTGTTGACCAGAGGCCACGGCAGAGACCTGGTTTCACATAAAAAAATTCGGTCAGGTTCCCTGGTTAAATACTTTTAATTACCAACGTTACATGGTCACATTCCCACATCTTACCCTATCAGAAACAGTGTAACAGTCCTCTCATGGAAATCCTAGTCAACTTAGACAGGGAACTGACTTAAGTTGATATGTGAAACTGGGGCTTGTTCAGTTGTTGTGCAAAAACCTTCATCTGGCACAGAAGAAACGTGCACAGCTGGTGAATAATAGGAAAAATATAAGTGAAAAGTCATTGAAAAAAAAACCTATGTGACCCTGGTAGAAGGCTGGGCCAGTGTATGTCAATATAGAAAGAGCACAAAACAGAGCCTGTAATTGTCTATAGAGAATTGTCAATCCAAAACTGTGCGATTTTTCTATCCATATTTTTCGACATTGGGCAGCGCCAAGAGTCTTAAGTTAGTTTTAGTTAGTTTGTGATGGTTTATTCAAGCAAGATTATTAGCAGCAGGTAGACAGTTTAATTATGATATCACCTACGTACGGATATTGTAACCGAGATAAGTTGCTCTCAGCTGACGCAAATCAACGGTAGCTGTTACAAAATTGCACGGATTTAAGCCGAGTTAAGTAACATCTAGATAGGCATGTATCAGAGAGAAGAGATAATTAAAGGTCCACCATATGGGATTTTTCCTTCCAAAATTAATTTTTCTGAGAGGCAAATCAACGGTAGCTCTTACAAAATTGCACGGAGTTAAGCCGAGTTAAGTAACATCTAGATAGGCATGTATCAGAGAGTAGAGATAATTAAAGGCTTACCAAACGGGATTTTTTCCTTCCAAAATGAATTTTCCTGGTATAAAGAACAATTTTTTCCTGCATAGAATTTACTGCTAACCTGTCCCTGCACTTACATTTGATGCCGTGTATAACACAGACGTTGCAAACTGGCAATGGCTTCTAAAGGAGACTCAGATAATAATAATAACACAAGGTATACTTCAGAAAAATTTTTAGGGTTTTAAGTGTTTTATTGTCTTTTGAGTCTGAATTGGGAAATATAAGAAGCATTGCAGTTCATGAATACGACTGTGGGGGATTTCAAAGCTTGGAGAGAACCTCAAGAAATTCATTTTGGCAGGAAAATTACGTAGAGTGGCTTTTAAGCCAGGTGTCATTGGCTACTTGTTATATTGGCTACCTGTTGTTTGCCTGAGTATCTCTCTCTGGATTTAAATGTACCGATCATAATTATATATTCTTTTAAGTTTTTGTTTCAACGATGTAGAAACCAAGAACATGTTTTATTTCTTTCTGAAACCAATGAGCATATATGAATATGATTATAGTTAGATTCATTATTGTTCAAATTTGTTTTGTTTACTTTTGATTAAACTTTGTTATGTCATTTGCACGTTCTCGTTTTTTTTAATTACGATTTTGGGGTATCATTTCAGAAGTTTTCTTACATTTGCGTAAATTTCCATTTTTTATTTGCCAACATGATTTTGCAATAATCCATTGCTGGGACAACTTGTTTAGATGGACCCGGTGGACCAAGCAGCTTTGAATTACAATTACTCTTAAATCTTTTTTTTTTTTTCATTTCTTAACTTTTTTGATTTATTTTTACTCCCATTATTTGGGTTACAAAACAAATTGCGGTAACTAGCATCCAGTGCATTTCTGCCGTATGAGTTAATATCACATCGGTGCTATTTCACCTGCATCTGAACACGTGCCCGTGCACGTGGACCCATTAGCGTAAAGGGATGTGTTCAAAATAAGAAATATTCAAATTTAATTTTAAATGCTTCTATATAATTACAATTAGACCGCACAAATATCAAACTAATTAAAACTAGAATAAAACCTGACTACTTAGATATTTAAATTTGAATTAAAATCCATTCCATTGGCATGCATACAACATACTCTGTTAAAATTTCTTTATCTGCCCATTTTGTATATCATTCATACTGAAATATCAAGAAAAATTGATTAATTTTTTTTTTCTTCAGATTTTTTTTTTTTTTTTTTTTACAAAAAGGTGACCCTGCATTAAGATTTAATGAGCCACTATGACGATTCCCGCCTGGTCATTACCTTTCATATACAAGTATTAACGTAACGGTTATGGATCTCCACACTGTGCTGCACCAGGACAGAAAAGGAAAAACAAGGCAGCAAATCTGTTAAATGCTCAGACATGAAGCAGATACATAACATAATTTAGCATCATTTCGTATCTATTGATAAAATCGGAAGTAAGCCTTTCAAGAAAATGTCCTGGGATCACATTTTTGCAATTATTATAGTGATAACTATACGGTGTTGATGGCTGTAAAGAAGAGGAAGATCTGTTTAAAACCAATATTACAGTTGATGTTACGTCATTACCTCGAGTCATCAAATCCAACCCAAGTATTCATTACCTCGAGTCACCCAATTATGTATGTATTTTTGATGCGACAGCCTTGCCTCATTTTTTTTTTTTTTTTTTGCATTATCTTAGCGGAGAAGAACAAAAAACTAACTTAAGGATTACCCTTCACAACATTGTTGTTTGCCCTGATGGCCTTAGATTTAAATACAAGTCCAAGACACCAAAAAGCCGTTTTTAATTTTGCCACTCTCCAACATTGGCTGGTGATCTCCACTATCACAGTTGTGCCTGGTGCCATTTTCACCCCAACATACCAACAGTGTGGTTTCGGAAAAAAAAAAAAGAAAAAAAGAAAACTGCAGGATTTTAAAGAGCACAGATTTTCTGATACATGTTAAGTTTTTGTACTGGGATTTGATAAGGAGCGGTGCAACACTGAATGACAACTTCATTTAATGGAAAACAATTTGTTAAAAGGAAAAAAAATGCAACTCTGACATGTATATGAACATCTCAGAGTGCACAGATCTATAAGAAGACTTTTGTAAAACAAGGCTTGTTTCAAGTCCACCAGTTTCAGCTGCAGTTTAACTTTAGCTGCGCGCTGGCAAAAATTTAAAAAAAAAAAAAAGAAAGAAAGAAAAAAACATGCCTCGATTGCTTTTCAATAAGCAAAACCAAAACATTTTGAGAAAATTATAACAAATCCCTGAGAGTTAAAAGTATTTCTTTTACTTTTTCTTCATTCAGTGTATTTACAATGCTATTTATACAGATGCATGGTATAAAAAGAGAACTATGTTCCTGTAAAGTATGGAAAGATAATTATTAATTTTCAGACACATAATAACCCAGCTTATTAAATTCTTACAGTTTAACTGTACAATGTTCCAACACATCACGTCTACAACAGTTCACGTATTCATTCACTAACAACCTGTCTATCATTAACTCCAAGACCTGTAATATGTCTCATTTGCAATTAAATGCATCTCATTAACTGAATCCCGTTGTGGTAAAGTGGAGTGGATTGTGAGATACAGTCAAAACATCCCCTGCCAAAATTTATCTCATTTAATGTTCACTTACAGTTCTCACTATACTCTAAAGCATTTGGTGTATTTTCTTACAGTTCTTTTGTTGTTCTGTAATAATGTAACAGTTTGAGAACTGTTTTTGGAATGTCCTAAAACAGATTTAGAACAGTTTTCACTAAAAGAGAAAAAAAATTATGTTTTAGGACAGATTGAGAACCATAAGCATGCGTTAAATGAGACAAATTTTCGCAGGGGATTTGCTATTTTCCCCAAATATCTTTCAAAAGCTATGGCAATGTCATGGCACTCACTATCTTTTGTGAATTCAATGCAGTGAAGAAAACTTAATATTACGTCCATATTTCACATGAAGATATACCAGTCTCCTTCAGAGATTTGTGAGGTGTATTCTCGGCACTGTACAATGTTAAAACACCTCAAGTTCTAGATTTTCTTTGTACACTGACATAAGTCATTAATCAGTTGATCAATAATAAGTCCTCTTGCCGTGTGCTGCATCCTATATATACACAAACTGAAATATCTACACGCAGATTGTCCACCAAACTCACTGGCTGTCTTGTTCACTCAGCCACATCTCCAGAAGAAGTTCATACACCGTCCACTGTATTACGCAGAGGCCTGATGAACCTCTATCGTCACCTCCTCCTGTTGTTCCGACTCATTCTCGTCCTCACCTGACTGCTAGGGTAAAGAAAAAAATGATGTATTTAAAGTAATTGACTTTCTAATTTACATAACTGATGATAAAACTTCTCTTACAGAATTTTTTATATCTCAGTATTTTCTACAATTATGACAGTGTATGTCACCTACAAGTGTTTCCACATCTTTGTTCAAATGCTCAGTCATCTTCCACCAATTTATAAATCAATTTGTGAAAAGCTAGTCAATTAGTGAACTACAAAATAGAGTACCACGAGACCAATTGTAGTGCCTAGCCTTACCTGCATTTCCACCCGTATTCCCGCTGGGTTGATGTCTTCCTGAAGGTCATCTTGGTCCTGCTGCTGCTGTTGTTGTAACTGGTCCTGAAACGAGGTGTCGTCCTGTCCCACGTGGTCCGCGGCCTGGGTGATTTGTAACACCTCGCCACTCTCTGTAGTCACCATCTGCACTGTCTGCGTGCCAGCTAACGACACCGCCACATCTACGCCCTGAAGATCTCCATGCTTTAACTGGAAATGTGGAGAAAATGTGGGGTTTTAGAAAAACAGAAATCAGTGACGGGCAGGTCACAAAACAATCACAACTTTATTTAATTTTTTTCCTTATACATTTTATAAGAAGTATCATCAAAATAACCTTTTTCCTCTTAAACATACAACCTCATGGACTGTTGTAGCATAGTTTTCACTAGGATTAAAACATTTGGGAATCATTTGGAGTCCCACATGAGCGTGTTCTTAAGTCACTGTGAAGATGGGATAATTTTTCTCACAAGTGAGACAGAACCTCCCTCTCTATCTCTAACATTTGTACTACGAGAAACCCCTTCTCACCTGTAACTCTTGACCTTCATTCAACACCTGTATATAATCTTACCTGTAACACCTGATCTCCATTCAACACCTGTATATAATCTTACCTGTAACACCTGATCTCCATTCAACACCTGTATATAATCTTACCTGTAACACCTGATCTCCATTCAACACCTGTATATAATCTTACCTGTAACACCTGATCTCCATTCAACACCTGTATATAATCTTACCTGTAACACCTGATCTCCATTCAACACCTGTATATAATCTTACCTGTAACACCTGATCTCCATTCAACACCTGTATATAATCTTACCTGTAACACCTGATCTCCATTCAACACTTGTATATGATGGGCCTCCCTAAGCTGCTCGATCTGTTCTGGTGTGGCGTGGAGGATCTGGACCTCACCGTGCTGTGTGATCCCCAGCTGACTGTGTAAGGTCGCCATGGAGTGGGCCGCGTCTAAACCCTCCGGCTGCAAGAGAAAGTAAAGACATTAACACAGGGTTCATCTAAACCCTCGGACTGCAAGATAAAGTAAAGTCATTAACACAGGGTTCATCTAAACCCTCTGACTGCAAGACAAAGTAAAGTCATTAACACAGGGTCCGTCTAAACTCTCTGGCTGCAAGATAAAGTAAAGTCATTAACACAGGGTCCATCTAAACCCTCCGGCTGCAAGACAAAGTAAAGTCATTAACACAGGATTCATCTAAACCCTCGGACTGCAAGAGAAAGTAAAGGGGGGGGGGCGGGGAGGGGGGGCACAGAATGCTTGAGGTGGAAAAATTGCCCAGAAGCAAAAAGGTTTTCCAATAAATAAAAACTGTATACAAAAAGTCTGATAAACAAATTATTGCTATGCTATTACCTGATGTATTGTCAGGGCTGACTCCTGCATGGAGTCTTCCCCGTCAGAGTTGATGCCAGACATGCCTCGTAGGGTCATGCCAAGCTGTGTGGGGGACTTGCCATGGAAGGCCTTGACAGTGAGCGGCATTCCTTTCTGTTTTCTTCTGAAGGCAGTGCGACACTTGGAGTCAATGTTCAGTTTAATGCGATGCCAGTCTTGTTCTGTGATACCAAATCTGTGGATGAGGTGACCTGAAATAGACATTATGATACATGGACAGTTTATATATCATATATAGACATTATAATAAATGGACAGTATAACATATATCATAAATATATTATAAACATTACAGACATAAAACCACATAGTATAGTGAACTGACATAGGTATAATCATATTATATACATTACATTAAACAGACATGGGACATTACAATAAACATACATAAACATAATAAAAACAGACAATAAACACCCAGGATTGTGGGTACAGCCCGTCCAAATTTACCACCTATAAATTTCTACACAATTTCAGGGAGTCCAAGTATGCCTAAAGCTGTCATATTTCCAAAAAAAAATCCAGCCGCCTTTGAAAATATAGGCCGTCTGGTGTTGCTGGCAGCCGTCCAATTGCTGTTTGACAGTTCACTGGGAAAACCCTTGCCAGTATGCAACATCAATATGTTAAACATTATATTTCCCTTAGGTGTAAAGCTTTATTTAAACGACCATTACTTTCACCTGTGAGAGATGATAGGATGATCATGTTATTCAATGTTGAAAACTAAAGAACAATCATTTCTAAACATCAAATTTGTGCTAATAATACCAGTTTTTATCATTTCATATTGGAGCAGCTTGAGGAAAAAATCACAACTCTAAAGTCATATCAACAAGACAAGGCACTATGCTCACATCTAATCCCATATATCATCAGTGGATCCAGCTGTTTCTTCCCGTGTTTCCCCATACCAGACAAGTTAGATGAGGCCTGGGTCTCGCGGTCAAACAAATAGTCCAGCAGAGTCAGTGCCATCTTCTCCGCAGTGCGACAGTTGGAATGGACATGTAACAGATCGCTGGAAAAAGATGAGGAAAACAGTCACACCTGACACTAAAATAATTTCAGTCAACTATAATAACAATGAAATGATTCTAGAATAAAACAATAACAAAAAATACAGAAAAGATAGTCATAAAAGAAAATATAAGACTAAAGTTACACCCAAACTTTTATGCTCTTCATAATGTAAAAGGGCTACACTTTATTTAGTTATGCATGTTCCAGCCAGAGCACACTAAGGCCCCATTCAGAATAGGGGACTAACTAGTCCCAGGGCCAAATATGGCGACCCACTTCAAAACTTGTCGTCTTATCCACTAACAGACACTGAATAGATTCCCCATGGGGAAGTATTCAAGTGGGTCGGCCATATTTGACCCTCGGACTAGTTAGTTCCCTATTCTGAATGGGGCCTTAATGGCCTGTTTTCAAAGTCTAATTCGTGAGTTACCTGGGGGTCACAGGGACCCTGACCCTCATCTCCGGGTTACTCTCATCTCCCAGCCAGGTGCCGTCAGGGTAGTCTTCCTCTGTGTTCAGGGTGATCAGGGTAACATTGGGGCCCAGTCCTGCCACTCCCTGACCACAGTTAGAGTTATCATCATCGGAGGACGGCCGGTTCTCCTGGGGTAATCCCACTATGACTGCACCAGATTTACTGAGGAAAGAAGACATAAATACATGGGCAAGAAAACAGAATGAAAATAGCGTAGAAGTGTTCTCAATTATCTCCAAGTATTGTAAATGAACCTTATGTTTAGCCAAGCTGTAGTTACAGCACATATAGAATTCAAAAAGAAGAATTTCAAAGTCCTTTACTTTTGAAATTTGAAAACCAAGTTGAAGATAAAATATGATGTCTTAACAGTTTAGAGGTGAATAGAATTTAACTACATTCCCGGACAAAATTCCAGATCCACATCTTGTTTTGTTGACAACAGAACTCATTCTTAAGAATTATCCTCCTGATAAAAAAGGTCTAAGACTTACTTTTTACCAGGGGTGCTTGAAGCCAGAGGATTAGATGGAGTTGTCAGCAACTTGTCTACTTTGTCTTCCAGTAATTTTGTTCTCTTATCCATCCCCAGCATTTTGTTCTCGATGGCATCCAGGCGCAGGCAGATCGCCTTGTTGATGTTAAACAAGATTTGCTGAAATGTTCAGAAGAGCGGTCATTAAAAAATGTGATAAAGTGATGGAAAAATTGGAATATCTATACTGTTCTGTGTAGGAACTATGTTTTGGGAACCTATTCAGTTTTCTGTACCTCTCCATTTTAAGAGATTGACAACTTCATAGCATGGCTATTAAATTTAGGAGTTATCTTAATACTAGTAACCTCCCCACCCCTACCCAGAACATAACACAGCCAGTTAACAGGATAAGGTTTGATGGGAACAATAAGGTCAGTAAAAAGTGGGAAACAGTCAATAGTGGAGCAGTACAGATTGGTTTGAGTCATTGTGAAATACGACTACACTAACTGTGCTACAGACACTGAGGTACCATCTCTACTACACACAAACTGCCCAAAATCACAGCAGAAGAAGGCAATAAAAACTGGAGAGCCTTAGCTGCAGAAACGCTTTGTAAAAGCAGACCAGCCCACCTTGACAGAGAGGTCAGCATCCAAGTCACTGTCTTCTGTCCTCACTCTCTTAGTTGCTGGCTCTCCACTGCCAGACTCTGAAGTAGAAAAAGGTACGTCTCATTATATATATATACATATATAGACACACACACACACACACACACACACACCTGCCTATAGTAACTATGGGTTATTAACTGTTATAATGTTATGGTTTTACCTTTTCAATGTTAATACTGGGTGACACCCCCCCCAAAATAAAAAAAAAAAAATAAAAAAATAAAAATTTACTAAATCTTTAAAAGGTCCATCAAATTTTAAAAAATTTGCTGGACTTAAATTTCAATATGTGCATGATCATTCCCAAAAGTTTCAGTTATCTTGGTCACTTTGCATAAAACATTCAAAGTTATGTCTTTTTAAAGATATGCTCTAAATGGCCTTCATAGCATTAGAGGCACACTTGCATATGTGTTCTGTAACATATTCCTCTTTCCGGATATTCCATATCTTCTCAAATTTTTAATAATTCACATCTACTCACCTGTCCTGTCAATCCCCTGAGCTAACTGAGACACCACCTCCACCAGCTGCTGAGCTGCTAACCCATTCTCACCTGGCTCCTGGCTCATTGCTGACATAAATAAATAAAACAATGTTAATTATAAAAGAGAAAAAAAGTTAGCCACTGGTCTAAAGCAGATGTTCAAGTTGGTATCAGACAAGGAAAAAAAAAAAATTTTTTTCTTCATTCAATAGTTAAATGAAACTGATGGAAATATTTCAGTTGCTTCAGATTATTTTCTATCACAAATGGGAATTATAGGTTAATTTAGTTTGTATGGGGTTTGTATTTTATTCCAAAGCACACAATTCAGAGTCACAAGTAGACAATATCTGTTAAGATAGTTTAGTCTAGCTTGAAGGTTTTTAAAAATTGTTGAACTTTATTTAATGACTTATGACTGAAATAGAAATAATTCTGAGAAAGTGGGATGTGAAGCAAATCCAAAAGCAAATTCAAGATAAAATTAATTCAGTCAAACACTATACTCAGTATAAAATATGTAAGAATAAATGTGAAGATTTCTTCCTAAAAAAATAAAATAAAATAAAATAAAAAAGAAATAAAATAAACTGAACATATAAGTAGTCATGAAATTAGCCTTAAAAGTAGAATATAAGGAGGTCATAAAACTGTTTAACCATACTTAATTACCTCAACAAATTATTTAGTAGAACATCTTATTCTGATATGAATGAGAACTGATAATCCAGCTGATATTCAATATTTTAAAAATAAAAGTACATTTTAATTGATATCATGCTGTCATTTTACTTGCAACTTTTTACACATAGTCTAAAACGCGATTTGGAAAAGTTTGCAGAAGATGGCTTTATGCTAAAAAAAAAAAAAAAACAGTAAATGGGGCAAACAGTAAACGTTAACTTCCTCGAGTTGTGTGTATCATTTAACTTGTGTATTTGACATTGACATTTTTTTCAAAATACAGCAACTACAAAAACTTCTTTCTCTAGTCCTAACACATAAAATACATGTGACGTCTTAAATTGTTACACACCTTCGCAGCACGCTGTCACTTGGTTTTAGCAGACGAATTAGAAATAAGGTCGAGTCGGAACAAATTGCTTCTGGTTTAGAAACTCCTCCTTTGGAGCGCAAAACATGCGGCTGATACAGATGACAGTTTTATGGATATCTCGCAATTTTCCATCGTTTTAGTGACTATTTTAGGATCGTGACAACCTGAACTCACCTAAAACTCAGGCTTAACAGGATTTCGCGGTGGAAAAGTTGAAATTTTGTAGGAAATCACGTCTTCTATCTCGAGGAACGATAATGGCGTCCAGAACGGTAATCTTCGAGAACTGCGCATGACTAGCCGTTTGAATGTTATTGTCACCCTCTAAAACTGATTAATTTTGGTTACATGTTGGAGGTTTTGTGTCTTCATTTTCTCATTAGAGAATCTTAACATATCTCTAAAGCAACAGAAATAGTTCACATTTTACTTTATTACAACTTTATATCATATTCAAGTCAAACATTGGTATTCTTTTCTGTGGAAATAAGAAGCAACACTACATGGAACAGCCGAATAATTTCTTATCTGCGCAGCCGCTGTTTCTTCTTACTTCCGTAAACAAAACCATTATGCTATAGATATCACCTTTGGCTCATGGACTACTTTTACTTCTTGGAGTTTCTCGAAAACTAAAAGTACGAAAGTGAGAATGAAAAAGATTTAAGTAAAGATTAAGGATCACGCCAATATATAAAAATCGTTGCTGTGGGAAATTATTTGAAATTGTTGACTTGAAAGGGAAAAGTGTGCAGCCTGAGCATAAAAATTCCAGTTGAAAGGGATTTAAAACTTGAACTAAAGAAGCTGTAAAAAGTACCATTTTTAGAATGATATTGAGTTGTGCCAGATCTGGGAAAATCGTGTAGTATGATATTTTTATGTACACTCAGAAAATAAACAGAAATATATGTGGACACATGTAATAACTCATTGTTTTGCCGTTGATCTTAGTAAAATATGTTCAAATAAATCGTTATAAAATTAGGACAGTTGCATAGAAATCAGGACATAGAAATATTGTCATTATAATAATTATTATTAAATGTATCTCTTGCAAGGAATTAAAATACATGTAGTTACATTTGTACCCAATAGATGGCGAGAATGTGAAATGCCGGAAGTCATGACCTAATTAGTTGTCAAAGCAAGCGCACTGTACTCATGTCAGTTTCAGTGGCCAGAGTACTGTCGTGTCAGTGTCGCCATCATGATCCCACGCTTCATCAGTCTTGTGATTTTGTGCTCGTTAACTGATGTTCTCTTTCATGAGGCAAAGTCGGCAGAAATAATCGAAGTTAGTCCTAGTGAAAGCAAAATCTGGGGCCCCGGTTTAGAGGCAGAGATTGTAGTGCCCGTTCGTTATTTCTATATACAAGCCGTGGGCACTGATGGCGTGAAGTAAGTACCTCTTCATATTTCCTTATTTGTTTTTAAATTTTAAGTATCGTCAGTCTTAGAGTAAGAGTAAGTAAGATTTGCACTCGTTAACTAATTCACTTTATTGGAAGAGGATGTGCTCGAGGGAGAGAGGTTATTATTATTATTATTATTATTATTATTAAGATCCAGGTGCTACCATTCCCATGTTTTCTGGCTTCTTGTTTTGTCTCATTTACTGTACTAGCACTGTAATTTAGCGCTGTTAATTTTAGCCACTCACACTGTGTCAAAGTGAAATATATTAAAAAAAAAAAAACAAGTGCTGAATAGAATTTTTCCCCATATATATTCACATATCGCTTTTTTGCTATTTCCTTGTTTATATAAAATGTCTACCATATAAACGCTCAACGATTATTTTAAGATTTCCTCCCACTTGAATGCACTTAAATGAAATTAATAGTTATGTCTTAAGAATAAAGATAGATGTTCTTTTAAGAAGTGAGGACCTCCAACTTGATGTCTGAGACACCCACAGTGTTTGGTCAGTGCATTAATTACGTGGATGAATTTTTCCATTGTTGGTTGGGACAATAAATTATTATCGTCTTTGTCCCTTTGACGGTTTGTTGGATTCTGGTGGGAAAATCATAAGATTTAATGTTTACTGACCATAAGCCTACAAAGTTCCAAATCAATTCTCCCTACCCCTCCAACTCCCCCCCCCCCCCACTGCCAAAATCATAATGCATACATTTCAATTAAGATAGCATTTGTTTCACATGCTAGCTAGTACCTTATTGTAAATGAGAAGTTTGTGCATTTCTTGCTTTTTCACCTTCTTATAAAGTGCAGTTTTTAACTAAGGCTAGTAATTCCATTGAAAAATAATTGGAGCTCTTAGTTTTAAGCAACCAACAAAGAAGTTTCTTGTGGTTGTGTGGTATTATACGATAGGAATACTAGTAAGCTGTTTTACATAAAAAAATTGGTAAAATGAAAATATGTAAATAAATATTAAAATGAATGGAAATGGATTTGTAAATGTACATATGCACATTGCAAAGGTTAACAAACTTCATTTAAAGGAGTTTTTTGTGCAAAATAGAAATATTTGAATAACACACAGAACTTTGTCATGTCACAAAGCGTTTAAGGCAATATTTCACTGATGAATTAAGCATGAAGTCAGTAAATAGTAATTAATAAAATGTTTGTTCAAAATCTTAAGGTGTATTCCCAGAGATTTAGATCGATCCAGGGATTAACATTTAGGTCGACCTAACTCCCTGGGGGTTCACGCTAAATTGCAGTCAGCTGAGTGCGCACCATAGTTAATTACCCCCTTACAGCTTTCAGTAGGCAGGACAGACGCTTAAGCCGGCTAAGCTGACAGTAATCTAGTGAGACTCCCCACAGGGATAGATCGATCCAAAATCTATGAAATGGGGTCTTAGAATCTGAATAGAGAGAAATACAAATAAGTACTTGTTTGCCCTGAAATATTAATAAATAATACTATTAGAACAAAGAAACTGGCAATTTTATTGCAGTCAAACACTGGTTTGTTTATGATAATTAATTCAGTGGTAACCATGTTGCAGGAGTAATAACAAGTTGACAGCGAGGTGGAGGCGTCTAGACGCGACCATATTTTACAGATCTCAGATAAAATGGTTTTGTGGTTAGCCGCCATTTCGTTTTGAAAGACTTCAGGTGAAATATGAGAATTTGAGGCAAATTTGTGAATTGTAATGTGACTTTAATGTACTTGGACCACAAAAACCAGATGAAAGTAGTCAACAAGCCTGGATTATGTCCTTAAGTGCTCTTACTCTCTCTCTCTCTCTCTCTCTCACGGCCTGATTTCTTTTTGAAAACGCACATTTTTGATCACAATGGCCATATATTACCCCCCCCCCCCCCCCCCCCCGTCATGTCATGCATAGAAAGCTGGCCACTGATTAGTATACATTCTCAGATTGTACACATCAGTTCAACTTCAGTACTGTACATATAAAGATAACTGATGTCTGCGGTCAGTTTGACCGTTAACTTCTTAATGGCATTGTTGAGTATTATTTTTAAAGGATCACACTTGAATCAAGGAGTGAAGTACTACATAGTTTTCTCAAGCAGCACTTCTAAACATTTAATGGGGTTTCTTTGTGTTGTAAAGCACATTTTGATAAGAAAATGGGTTAATATTTTCATGTATGTGAGTGGCTTCTCTTCTGATAGTAATGTGTATATATATCTTATGTCATTTCCTTCTCTTGTGAAAATGAATGGATGGGAATGTCAGTGATTTGTCAAAGCACACTATGATATACTCCCTGGGCAGGCTTTGATGTGCCATATTTATTCAAATTTTGGAGTCAGTCTCTGCTAGAAATAGATGGTCTTCTTAAATAAGAAAACCATAAAATGTATAATATTCAGTTATATCATAGTCGAATAATGCCTAATTAACATGGGTTATTTGTTATTCAAGTATTGCTACTAAAAATTTATTCTAGCACTTTGTTTAGAATTATGTACATTTATGAAAGTTTGATCTAACCTCAAGTTTAACCTTTTCATGGAACAAATTCCTCCTTCTGGTGAATATGTGAATATTCACAACAGAACCCCCCCCCCAACACCACTTCCTCACTGTGTTTTCCCATACATCTTTAGCCATTCCCATATGAGAATGTACAGTAGCTTGTAGAAATTGAATACATTTCACAAACATCTTTTACCACATTTGCTAATTTGCCCAACCTACTGCTTTGATGATGCTTATTGCAGATAAATCAAAGATACACAGAATAAGATCCCCCCCCCCCCCCCCAAAAAAAAAAAAAAATGCTAAACAAATTTTCTTGGGATAAACAATGTTTTTCTCTGACTAACCAACCTTTGACTCTCCTATCTTGATACTCACCCAAAAGATTCATGGGAAAATGGAAAAGACCTTTTTCAAATGCCCTCATCATTTTAAATGCAAACTTCTGGGTTGTCTGCAATGAAAAAATGTTTGAAGATGGTGGACAGATGACAAAGTTTGTCAGGAAGTGATAAAGTAGATTATTCTTGGTGATATTAATTCATGGCATTTGTCTGTTAAAAATTGATCTAAAATTATTACTGGTCCTCAGATAAGTTCAACAAGAAGCAATTTATACATGTAATGTGAGTCTAAAATATGATTTCTCCCTTTATTATTAAACACAGCAGATGATACCAAAATGGGCAAATATTTGCATTACATACATGATATGATCTTTCTAATTAATTTTTTGGCTCCTTTTTTTTTTAAGCATTCTTAAAAGAATTTTCATGAAATGAAGTAAATTAAGTTTTGAAATATTACAAATGACATGAAATTGTGCAGCTCCAAGAAACAAGAAAATTTCAGCTTTTATGTGTTTATGCACCCTGAGCTTCAGAGCTANGAATACTTTAATATTTAAAAACAAACAAACAAACAAACAAACAAACAAACAAACAAAAAAAAAACAAGTGCTGAATAGAATTTTTTCCCCATATATATTCACATATCACTTTTTTGCTATTTCGTTGTCCATATAAAATATCTACCAATGTCAAGATGCTCAATGATTTTTTAAAGATTTTCACCCACTTGAATACACTTAAATGAAATTAATAGTTATGTCTTAAGAATAAAGATAGATGTTCTTTTAAAAGTGAGGACCTCCAACTTGATGTCTGAGACACCCACAGTGTTTGGTCAGTGCATTAATTACGTGGATGAATTTTTCCATTGTTGGTTGGGACAATAAATTATTATCGTCTTTGTCCCTTTGACGGTTTGTTGGATTCTGGTGGGAAAATCATAATATTTAATGTTTACTGACCATAAGCCTATAAAGTTCCAAATCAATTCTCCCTACCCCTCCAACTCCCCCCCCCAACTGCCAAAATCATAATGCATATATTTCAATTAAGATAGCATTTGTTTCACATGCTAGCTAGTAGCTTATTGTAAATGAGAAGTTTGTGCATTTCTTGCTTTTTCACCTTCTTATAAAATGCAGTTTTTTAACTAAGGCTAGTAATTCCATTAAAAATAATTGGAGCTCTTAGTTTTAAGCAACCAACAAAGCAATTTCTTGTGGTTGTGTAGTATTGTACGATAGGAATACTAGTGAGCTGTTTTACATAAACAAATTGGTAAAATGAAAATATGTAAATAAATATTAAAATGTATGGAAATGAATTTGTAAATGGGCATATGAACATTGCAAAGGCTAACAAAATTCATTCAAAGGAGTTTTTTTGTGCAAAATAGAAATATTTGAATATCACACAGAACTTTGACGTGTCACAAAGCATTTAAGGCAATTTTTCACTGATGAATTAAGCATGAAGTCAGTAAATAGTAATTAATAAAATGTTTGTTCAAAATCTTAGAATCTGGATAGAGAGAAATACAAATAAGTACTTGTTTGCCCTGAATTATTAATAAATAATACTATTAGAACAAAGAAACTGGCAATTTTATTGCAATCAAACACTGGTTTGTTTATGATAATTAATTCAGTGGTAACCATGTTGCAGGAGTTATAACAAGTTGACAGTGAGGTGGAGGCGTCTAGACGCGACCATATTTTACAGATCTCAGATGAAATGGTTTTGTGGTTAGCCGCCGTTTCGTTTTGAAAGACTTCAGGTGAAATATGAGAATTTGAGGCAAATTTGTGAATTGTAATGTGACTTTAATGTACTTGGACCACAAAAACCAGTTGAAAGTAGTCAACAAGCCTGGATTGTGTCCTTAAGTGCTCTTTCTCTCTCTCTCTCTCTCTCTCTCTCTCTCTCTCTGTATTTCTGAACAAAATGGTCACATATTTCACTTTATCTCTACCCCCCCCCCTTTCCCCATTCTTGTCATGCATAGTAAGCTGTATATGTCCTCTGTTTGCACACATCAGTATGTGTAAAGATTACTGATGTCTGCGGTCAGTTTAACTGTTAACTTCTTAATGGCATTGTTGAGTATTATTTTAAAAGATCACACTTGAATCAGGGAGTGAAGTACTACATAGTTTTCTCAAGCAGTACTTCTAAACATTTAATGAGGTTTCTTTGTGTTGTAAAGCACATTTTGATAAGAAAATGGGTTAATATTTTCATGTATGTGAGTGGCTTCTCTTCTGATAGTAATGTGTATATCTTATGTCATTTCCTTCTCTTGTGGAAATGAATGGATGTTAATGTCACCAATTTGTCAAAGCAAACTATGATATATTCCTTGGGCAGGCTTTGAAGTGCCATATTTATTCATATTGCAACTTTTGGAGTCAGTCTCTGCTGGAAATAGATGGTCTTCTTAAATAAGAAAACCATAAAACGTATAATATTCAGTTATATCATAGTCAAATAATGCCTAATTGACATGGGTTATTTATTATTCAAGTATTGCATCTAAAATTTATTCTAGTATTTTGTTTAGAATTATGTACGTTCATGAAAGTTTGATCTTAAGTTTAACCTGTTCATGGAACAAATTCCTCCTACTGGTGGATATGTGATTATTTATAACTGAAGACCCCCCCTCCCTCCCGGTACCACTTCCTCACTGTGTTTTCCCATACATCTTTAGCCATTCCCATATGAGAATGTACAGTAGCTTAGAAATTGAATACATTTCACAAACGTCTTTTACCACATTGCTAATTTGCCCAACCTGCTGCTTTGATGGTGCTTATTGATAACCGAATAAGACCCCTCCCCCCCAAAAAAAAAAAAAAAATTGCTAAACAAATATTCTTGGGATAAATAATATTTTTCTCTGACTAACCAACCTTTGACTCTCCTGTCTTGATACTCACCATAAGAATCAGGGAAAATAGAAAAACCCTTTTTCAAATGCCCTCATCATTTAGAATACAAACTTCTGAGTTGTCTGCAATGAAAAAATGTTTGAAGATGGTGGACAGATGACAAAGTTTGTCAGGAAGTGATAAAGTAGATTATTCTTGGTGATATTAATTCATGGCATTTGTCTGTTAAAAATTGATCTAAAATTATTACTGGTCCTCAGATAAGTTCAACAAGAAGCAATTCATACATGTAATATGAGTCTAAAATATGATTTCTCTTTATTATTAAAGACAGCAGATGATATCAAAATGGGCCTATATTGGCATTACATACATCATATGATCTCTCTAATTAATTTTTAGGCTCCTTGTTCTTTAAGTATTTAGAATTTTCATGAAATGAGGTAAATTAAGTTTTGAAATATAGCAAATGACGTAAAATTGTGCAGTTCCAAAAAAAATAGGAACTTTCAGCTTATAAATTTATATTAATTGTGTTCATGTGTATGATCATATAAAGGAGGGTTCACGAGAAACAAACACGCATGCTCCATTTTTTATGTACAGACACAGATGTGTCCGTACATATAGCCATCATCTGCGTCTGTCGTCGCCGTCGGCGCCGTCGTCGCCTTGCACTTTTACCGATAACACGATAAGTGGAATACTGTTTTTTCTTTTGGCTTGAAACTTACAGAACTGATGAATATTCATAATACGCAGGTCAAGTTCGAAAATCAGCATGATCGGGTCACTTTTAGGGAATTTATGCTGTTTTTTCACTTTTTTCAGCATATATGCAGCCCCGATAACACAATAAGTGGAAAACCATTTTACCTTTTGGCTTGAAACTTACAGAACTGATGAATATTCATAATATGCAGGTTAAGTTCGAAAATCAGTGTGATTGGGTCATTTTTAGTGAATTTAGGCTGTTTTTTAATTTTTTTCAGCATATATGCAGCACCGATAACACAATAAATGGAAAACCATTAAACCTTTTGGCTTGAAATTTACAGAACTGATGAATATTCAAAATAGGCAGGTCAAGTTCGAAAATCAGCATGATCGAGCCACTTTTATGGAAGTTAAGCTGTTTTTTCACTTTTTTCAGCATTTTTGCAACACCGATAACATGATAAATGAAAAACTGTTTTACCCTTTGACTTGAAACTTACAGAACTGATAAATANTGGAGCCCGTGTCCGAGGCTGGCCGCAGGTGCTGGACAGAAATGACGGGACTTTTCTGGTCCGCTACAAATTGTTCAACACGGTCAAAGATGTCCAGGTGGAGGTCACTTATAACGGGAAACATGTGGCGGACTCTCCGTATCTTTTAAAAGGTAGGTCTTTGTTGGTGATGAAATTGTGTTAATATTATAAGTTATTAGTCCAGGAGATAATATGAAAAATAAGCTGTTTGAGTAATAAAGCTATTGACAAAAGATATTTAAATTTTATCAGAGACAGTTTAAGGAACTTTTGAAAGCATGTATACAGGCTTTTACTTGAATGTCACTTTTAAAAAAGCATGGTAAAAAGTGTTTTCTTGAAATAAAAATTAAAAAAACTTGTGACAGGTTTTGTTTTTTCATAGTATCTTTAATGCATTGAGAAGACAAGAGGAATTAATTTAGAGAGAATGTGACCATTTGAGATGGTTCCTAAGTAGAATATTAGACAAACCTGCATAACCAGTATTTCATATTTTCTTATTGTGGACATGCATTGTTTGTTGGATACTTGTAGTATTAAAAATGCAATAACATCTGAGAACAAAAAGCCTCAGCAGAAGTGAACAGACTTTGTTTGCATCAACCCAGACTCTCACACTGCTTGTACACGTATGTTGTTAATTATTTCCTGTAAAGATATTTTGATATTTTTCAAACCTGCCACAAGAATATAATACAATAATATGTTTTCATCACATGTTGATTGAATGTGAAAAATTAATCTGTTCATTGGATTCATGAATATAAACCATAGTTTAACTTTAAGTATAATCATAAATGTGTCTATATTATTGTCCCATACCCTCAGGCCTTGCCTGGGGGCTGAAGTACTCTCTCTTTATTTTCACCTTCCCATACGCTGTATCTGGAATGCCTGGCCAGGCGAATAACGCAGTCAAGTTTGTTTAATACTATGTTTTGTACAATACTGATGAATAATCACAGACATACAGTGATGCAGTACTATTAGAGTTATCTAAGAGAAATATTGGAGATTAACTATTTCAATATTAGCTGTTGATTGAAGAAAAATTACTTTTATTCTTATCATAGAGAAGTTTTGGCAAACAGTACTGCATCACAGTTGCCCAAAGACAGGGTTGATCTGTATTTTTTTTTTTTTTTTTTTTTTTTTGGGGGGGGGGGCACCTTTTTGGTGAAAAAGAGTCTGTTCTCAACCAAATCTTGATCTTTGAACAGCTTCAGTGCCATTTTTCAAATGGGGTCACCTTAGGGGGTAAAAAAAGTCCACTTTTTAAGAAAAAAGGACCTATCTCTAAAGATACTAGCTATATCTAGGTCTGTCAAATATTGAGCAATTATAGTGCAGCCTCTGGGTAGACATGAGACAGACACACTGCATACTTCCAGTGTCACATGAAGGGATCTTTCATTACATCTTGGCTGTTGTAGATAGTATCAGCTTACCTGTGGCACATGATGTAGAATGTAGTCACATCCTGATGTCATGTGTACCCTCCTCCGCCCCCTTCTCCCCCCCTGCCTCACCCCTTCCCCTTTCCAATGCTGCATTGCCTGACATAACCAACAAAGATAAGTTATGTCTTCAGATACAGTGGTTGTAGGAGTAATAATTTACTATTCGTGTGTGTGTGTGTGTGTGTGTGTGTGTGTGTGTGTGCAAAATATACATCAGAAATTGGATTCTGTCAGAGCTCTTCAAAGTGATATAAAAGTGAAATAATAATTGTTATAATAATAATGATCATTGTCAAGTTTGAAATGTTAATATCAAACAAATAATTAGTAAACAAAAAGTAATAGAAAGACAATTAGAATTGAATTTGCAATGCTTAGAAATCATTCAAAAGTCATTGGTCAGTAAAATGAGCTCTGTTGCCAACATTATAGTTATTGAAAATATATCTTACAGATTGTACACATACATAAACTTTATTTTATTTCATTGATTTCAATACATTTTGTATCAGGGGTGGAGTTTTTCTGACTATGGGCAGATTTCTGACTTTTTTTAGCCAAAAATATCATTTTTGAGATGGATACAGATCTGCAGTAAAAACCAGGGGACCCCCCACCATATTCTCAGACTTTTTCACTAAATGGCAGACTCCTTCCTGCTAGACTACTGAAAATGTATGCTTCAGTACTTTAATCATTTAAGGTTTTTCACTGCCATAAAATTAATAATACTGATATAGTATGAATTTTAATTACTCATGTTCATGAATTTATTTTAATTTATTAAATACAGGATTAATTTATCATGAAAAATGCTACTGTCCAGTTGGCAAAGTGGACAAATGGCTGACCAAGATGCAGTGTCCTAAGAGTTACCGACAGATAAAGCAGGATCTGTCCCTGTACAAGAACATTGACATGGAGAAGGTGGAAAAAGATCTCGTGTCTAGATTTAGTCAGCGTGGCAGCTTTAGCTTGTGTCACTATGTGGTCAAGAATAACAAGGTATGAGATCACATCTTATAAACTGGATGTGGTGTCTTATGTCTAGATTTAGTCAGCGTGGCAGCTTTAGCTTGTGTCACTATGTGGTCAAGAATAACAAGGTATGAGATCACATCCCCTGCGAAAATTTGTCTCATTTAATGTTCACTTACGGTTCTCATTCTATTCTATTCTACAGAAGAACATTTGGTGTATTTTTTACAGTTCTAATGTTGTTCTGTAATGAATGTAACACTTCGAGAAGTGTTTTTAGGAAGTCCCTCAGAATGTCCTTTAACAGACTAAGAACATTTTTTATTAAAAGAGAAAAACATGTTTTAAGTCAGATTGTACGTAAGTAAACATTAAATGAGGTCAGATTGTACGTAAGTAAACGTAAATGAGACAAATTTTCTCAGGGGACCTTATAAACTGGAAATAGGGTTGAGGCGTGTTTTCATTCAAGTTGGGATGAATCAGTCTGGCTTGGCTCATCTCAGCAGACTGGCAGATGATGACTGATAGTAGTTCACCATAAGAAGCCACTTTGGGTTGGGATGACCTAACTTGACTGGAAACACGGGTAGAAATTGTAATCCACTGAGTCTTTGCATTCTGATATAAGTCAGTCCATCACATCTTAAATGGAAGTACAACCTTATATTAACTAGGTTTACATTTACATTTTTTTCATAGATAATCATGATTGTTAAGCAAGAAATGAAAGTTTTATTAACCTTAGAATATTTGTTTTTAGATCTACAGGAAAACTCACGGAGAACATGTTGGGTTCAAGATGTTCATGGATGCCATGTTGTTGTCCTTGACAAGGAAGGTAATAACATGATTTTGATTAAATATACACATTAGAATAAATAAGTCCAACTTAAATTCATTGAGCTATAACAGTGAATAGAAAGATTTCAATGAACATTAAGAATAACTGTTTTGTAATATTTTTAGATCGTTTCTGTATATAAGTCATCATATGTAGTCTGTTTACTATAATAAATAAATATTTATTACAGTAAATAATTATCCATTAGTTATATGTCTAAACAGTCTTTCCTTTTTTTGTCAAAAATGTATGACCATAACTCTAAGTTATTGGGAAATTGATGTCTAAAGAGGAAAATGCAAACATACCTGTAGTTATTTCTTTTAAGACATTAAAATGTTTTCCATAGGTGAAGCTCCCTGACATAGAATTCTTTGTCAACCTTGGTGACTGGCCTTTAGAGAAGAGAAAGACCAGTGACAACCCTCAACCTGTCTTTTCTTGGTGTGGATCAGACGACACCAGGGATATCGTCATGCCAACCTATGATGTCACGGAGTCCACATTAGAGACTCTGGGCAGGTGAGGGCTTTTTTTCCTCAGATTTCATCTTGATTTTTTACTCTTTGGTTTCTTCTTTGTTGGTGTTTATTTCATAACTGTTTATTAACAACAAAAGCTCTGTTAGAGCTCTCTTAAATGATAAGATGTTGATTTTGATTGTTTGAACAAATGTTGGTTGGGCTCTGTGCTTTTTCCTAGACCCGTAGATGTTTGATATTAGATATTAGATAGTCTTGCTTCCCTGCAAATGACAAGAGAAAATGAAAATGTTTTTTTTTTAACTTTTATTCTCAGAAGGTGATTTGTATTACATTTTATGTATTTGAATATTGACTCTTAATAATAAGACAAAGCTCTTGAATTTTGGCCAACTCTGACTAGATTTGATTTTGAAAGGAATTTTTCAATCCAATCAATTTCAATTCATCGCCATATTCATTGAATCAAGGAAAAAAAATGCAATTCTCACCACTATCATATGGAGATACGGTCCTCTCTCCCCTTGTTTTGATATGTTCCTGGTTTATATGTTTGTAGATGTGAACAAGAGAGTGGTACGTTAGAAATGCCAACATATCAAACCTCTGAGTCTGACTTAAAGAATACGTGTAGGTGAGATTATTCGACTGGCATTTATAGATGTTCCGTAAATAGGTGATAGGGCTAGAAATTCACAAACTTCAAACCAGAGTTCTTGTTCACTATGAAAAAGGGGCAGAAGGTCGGGGGGGGGGGGGGGCAGTCAGAGATTAACTGTTACTCAGGGTGTGTATGCTTTATGAACTCATTTTGGTTTGTTTTCTTCGTAATAATTGGCTGAATTTCTATCCCACAATAGGCAATTTTGTTGTGGCTTTGTCTTTCAAACAATTTCCATTTTTGACTAATAATTTATCGTATTTATGGGGAATTGAGGCATGCTTGTTTGTCTATTGTTTTTCTAATGATCATCATTTTGAAATATTAGCTTTATGGCATTATAAAATTTTCAGCACAACATTGTATCTTCCAAAGTTAGCTTTGTGTAGCCTGCTTTCATATGGGACATACATGTACCAGTACTTTCAGCTTCCATGTCTAGCTTAATTTGCACTTTATTTGCCTTGGTTTGGTACTGCTAAAGATGGCTTGATGCTTGCTTGTTTGTAAAACTCTTCTGTCACCCTGAACTTTGATGTCTGTGCGGGAGAGGTGTGTAGTCCCCCTATCTGCCAGGAATGTGGATGTTTGAATGTGGATGTTAAAAGTTTTCTAGGTTTTGATATTTTATGATTTAAGGTAGGAGTACTGTATGTATCTTTTGCACCCGTCTTATGTTGAAGTGTTTAGGAAAGGGTTTGACAAGGTACATGTTGCAGCATGACTTGTCCCCATGTTTAAAAGAAGAAGAATCATAAAACAGTAAAGTGTGGTATTTTTAAGTAAAATTTTATTATGATGTACATATTGTTCTTTTTATCGTCACCCAAGTTAATCAGCCTTATTGAACAGATTTGGTGTTTGTCATTTTTATTTTAAAACACTCAAAATATAGAGAAGTTAACCATTTTATAAGACAGGAAACATATATGGGTAAAAATATTTAGTGCAATTAATTGATAATGGTTTGAGTTTTATCTACTAGCAGACTTTTTATCTGAAGACATGACACTCGATGTCACCACTGTTCTCACATAACCTAAACACATGACAATAGATGTCACCACTGTTCTCACATAACCTAAACACAGCACAGTAGATGTCACCACTGTTCTCACATAACCTAACCACATGACAATAGATGTCACCACTGTTCTCACATAACCTAAACACATGATAATAGATGTCACCACTGTTCTGATATTTCAGGGTCAGTCTAGACCTGATGTCAGTGCAGGGAAACACGGGACCAAAGTGGGAGAACAAGACAGAGGTGGCTCTCTTCCGTGGGCGGGACAGTCGTCAGGAGAGACTGGACCTGGCTGAGATGTCCTTGAAACATCCTGACCTCATTGATGCCAAGCTGACCAATATGTTCTTCTTCAAGAAAGATGAGAGTAAACACGGTCCACTGGTCAAACATATATCCTTCTTTGACTTTTTCAAGGTGTGTGTTCTTTTTCGTCTATTTTTTCAATCTTCATCCTTTTAAAAAAAAAAACATTTAATAGAGTGAGCATAAATAAGCCTTAAAGGCAAAACTTGTTTTTAAAAATCCTAATTGATTTAGGTTCAAAAAGTGAGAAAAATTGGTACTATCACTATTATTATTTTGATATCTTCTTTAACTAAGTGTGCATGACTGTGTTGACTTACTTGATCAGTTCTCAGACCAACTCATCCTGTCTTTATTTTTTTTTAAAGTGGAAATATCAGCTGAACATTGATGGCACAGTGGCAGCGTACAGATTCCCGTACCTTCTGGCCGGGGGCTCCTTGGTATTCAAACAGGACTCCCCATATTATGAGCATTTTTACAAACAGCTGGAGCCGTACAAGCATTATGTTCCTTTCAAGAGAGATCTCAGCGATTTGATGGAGAAACTGATCTGGGCCAAAGAACACGATGAAGAGGTAAGATAGAGGGCGCTGCTGTTAGAACATGATGAACAGGTAAGATAGAGGGCGCTACTGTTAGAATGTGATGAAGAGGTAAGATAGAGGGCGCTACAGTTAGAACACAATGAAGAGGTAAGATAGAGGGCGCTACTGTTAGACCAAGGTGAAGAAGTAACAGAGTTACAGCAGTTAGGGTTTTATGCACTTGCTTGACCACCAAGAAGAAATCCAAGTAAAAACTCTGAACTAAACTAGACTGAGTCAATATTTGTGCATTAATTGATAGATTATATAAGAGTTTTTCATTATTTACCTTTTCAATATAAATCACAAGTCAAAACTTTTGATGAAGATTTTGTAAAAATTGTGGTAAGAAGTGAAACCTCCATGTATATTTGAAGTTGACTTTCAGTAAATGTGTATAGGGAAAAAATTATGAACATTTAATGCAAATTGACAACAGTCTGTTAAAAAGAAAATTACCTCATATTTTTCACATTATGAACTGAAGTGACTAATACTCTTTTTGTAATATTAAAAAGCAATTATTGGAAACATATAAAAAAAAATTAATTGTATTTTGTAAAAGGCTTTTGAAAGAACAAACAACAGTTATAAAAGGAAGTTTGAAGATTTTCATTTCATTTTGTTTGCAGGCAAAAGAAATAGCCCGAAATGGTCAGCTTTTTGTGCGAGACAATCTAATGGCGGTGGACATATTTTGTTACCATGTTGTATTATTTAAAGTAAGTACACACAGGGTCCGAGTCAGGTCATGTTCACACCTCTCTTGGATAGACAGCATCTGAATTGGTCAGAATGATATCAGGCTTGATTGTAGTTTAACTGGCATCTGCACTGTAATTGTCTTACATAATGATATATAGAAGTTAAGTCTAGAAATGGAAATCAGTTGGTGATTATGAAGTTTTATAGCACAGCTTGTTTGATTACATCTTGGGGTTTTCAGTGTCATAATACTTGAATTATGTGACTATTGGCTACTAACTGGTAGGCGACTTGGCTAAGAGAGAGGGGTGAAAATGCCCATCTTTTTGAGAAAAATGTTAAATTTTATTTTCTGTGTCTGGATTGAAGCACGGTGTGTCAATGGATTAAATTATAAATTTTGAAAGGTTTTATTAATAAACAAGACAAACACTAGCTATATACTGTGATAACACTGATTTCTAATTGTTTGACAGGTTTCTCATTTATGGTTTTATTTGGTTGTAAACTGGTTTTGATTTTTGTCATGTTACATATTGTAAGCAACTGCTTTACTTCAGCTATTTATTATAAATGTTAAAGTGATTTGGAAGAAAAAAAGGACTAAAACCCATGTGTGAAATTGACCCTTAATGTTTGAGAATATATATAGGAAAGCTTCACTCTGTCTCTTCCTCAGGAATATGCCAAACTATTAAAAAGTCCAGTAGAGGTCCGTGATGGCATGGAGCTGGTGGACCAACCAAGTGACCATGAGTCAAAGTGTGAATGTGGGAGAAAGACAAAGAAAGCTAAGAAGGCAAAGGTAGGAGCTACTGTCTTTAGCATTCAGTTAGGTGTTACTAAGAAATAATGTTTCCATAATGGAGTTTCTATCAAAATGTAACGAAATTTCTCGCTGACTGAATTAAATTAACATTAGCATTTATGTTGATATTCATATTTTCAGATTTTTGTAGTTTTTCTTGAGTTTTGGTGTCAGCCATAAAATGTGTGTAATATATTTTTTCTCAAACTTTCATTATTTTATTTATTTATTTATTTATTTATTTATTTATTTATTTATTTTTTTTACCTGGCAATCAAAGAATGTTTGTTATATATTTTTCAGAACAAGAAAGATGAACTCTGATGATGGTTTGGACTTAATAGTAACAAATCATGCAATACATTAAACAGCTGTGAGATGACAAAATGCTTCCAGGAAAACTTTGAACAGTTTTCCATCAAAGATATTAGTAATTATATGAAAACATCAGACATTTATACCTGTGAATTCTTCAGTACGGTTCTGATATTTTTATTGTACATTTTCTTTTATTATACAAATGGGACCAGTTTGTATTAAGAATTTGTTTGAAAAACAAAGTGAGTTAATACCATTTTTATTAGATAATTTATTGGGGGTATTCTAAAATATAATATTGAAAAGTAATTGTCACAATTTTTCTCATTCTAATTATATTGAGATGGACTTAATATTTGTTTGTGCGGTTATAAGTAAGTGTTTATTGAATCAGTCTAGAATTAATAATATAATTATTTTGCATGTATATTTAAAATGTTAGAGTATAGATGACCTACGTACTGAAGTGTCCTTACATCAGTAGTTATTGCATTTAGTTTTGTGTTTGTCTTTGTGGGCATATTATATTACAATATTATCTTATATATTATCTTATATAATATATTAAATGACTTATATAATCTGTTATGGTAGATGTTAAGTTGTATTGAGTTTTATCACATTTTGTGTCAGACATTGATCATGGTACAACTTTGTGTCACTGACAATATGGTTTGTGATCGTCAGTTAAAATTTAGTTACTGTTTAAAGGTAAATATATCGTCTTTGTATTTTGTGCAATCTCAGAAGAATTGATGTTTGGCATGGTGCTTAATATTCTCATCCAGAAGTTTTAAGCATTATCGTAGGTAGGTAAACTATAAGCTGGATCTTTTCCCGTCTTTTTTTTTTTTTGGACAAATTTCTGGTCTAACGTTTCGATGATCTTAATTGTTTTCAGAGGATTCATTAACTCCACATATCATACCCAGACAGCCTCAGTAATCTGGCCCACGTNAAGACCGCATCTGAATTGGTCAGAATGATATCAGGCTTGATTGTAGTTTAACTGGTATCTGTACTGTAATTGTCTAACATAATGATATATAGAACGTAAGTCTAGAAATGAAAATCAGTTGGTGATTATGGAGTTTTACAGAATAGCTTGTTTGATTACATCTTGGGTTTTTCAGGGCCATAATACTTGAATTATGTGACTGTTGGTGTTGGTTACTAACTGGTAGGCGACTTGGCTAAGAGAGAGGGGTGAAAATGCCCATCTTTTTGAGAAAAATGTTAAATTTTATTTTCTGTGTCTGGATTGAAGCAAAGTGGGTCAATGGATTAAATGATAAATGTAGAAAGTTTTTATTAATAAACAAGACAAAGACTAGCTATATACTGTGATAACACTGGTTTCTAATTGTTTGACAGGTTTCTCATTTATGGTTTTATTTGGTTGTAAACTGGTTTTGATTTCTGGCTTTCTACATATTGTAAGCAACTGGACTTCAGCTTTTTATGATAAATGTTAAAGTGATTTGGAAGAAAAAAAGGACTAAAACCCATGTGTGAATTTGACCCTTAATGTTTAAGAATATATAGAAAAGCTTCACTCTGTCTCTTCCTCAGGAATATGCCAAACTATTAAAAAGTCCAGTAGAAGTCCGTGATGGCATGGAGCTGGTGGACCAACCCAGTGACCACGAGTCAAAGTGTGAGTGTGGGAGAAAGACAAAGAAAGCTAAGAAGGCAAAGGTAGGAGCTACTGTCTTTAGCATTCAGTTAGGTGTTACTAAGAAATAATGTTTCCATAATGGAGTTTCTATCAAAATGTAACGAAATTTCTCGCTGACTGAATTAAATTAACATTAGCATTTATGTTGATATTCATATTTTCATATTTTGTAGTTTTTCTTGAGTTTTGGTGTCAGCCATAAAATGTGTGTAATATATTTTTCTCAAACTTTCATTATTTTATTTATTTATTTTATTTTATTTTATTTTATTTTATTTTTTTACTGTCAATCAAAGAATGTTTGTTATATATTTTTCAGAACAAGAAAGATGAACTCTGATGATGGTTTGGACTTAATAGTAACAAATCATGCAATACATAAAACAGCTGTGAGATGACAAAATGCTTCCAGGAAAACTTTGAACAGTTTTCCATCGAAGATATTAGTAATTATAAGAAAGCATCAGAAATTTATACCTGTGAATTCTTTGGTACAGTTCTGATATTTTTATTGTACATTTTCTTTTATTATACAAATGGGACCAGTTTGTATTTAGAATTTGTTTGAAAAACTAAGTGAGTTAATACCTTTTTTATTAGATAATTTATTGGGGGTATTCTAAAATATAATATTGAAAAGTAATTGTCACAATTTTTCTCATTCTAATTATATTGAGATGGCTTTAATGTTTGTTTGTGCAGTTATAAGTAAGTGTTTATTGAATCAGTCTAGAATTAATAATATAATTATTTTGCATTCAATTTAAAATGTTAGAGTATAGATGACCTACGTACTGAAGTGTCCTTACATCAGTAGTTATTGCATTTAGTTTTGTGTTTGTCTTTGTGGGCATATAATATTACAATATTATCTTATATAATATATTAAATGACTTATATAATCTGTTATGGTAGATGTTAAGTTGTATTGAGTTTTATCACATTGATCATGGTACAACTTTGTGTCACTGACAATATGGTTTGTGATCGTCAGTTAAAATTTAGTTACTGTTTAAAGGTAAATATATCGTCTTTGTATTTTGTGCAATCTCAGAAGAATTGATGTTTGGCATGGTGTTTAATATTCTCATCCAGAAGTTTTAAGCATTATGGTAGGTAAACTATAAGCTGGATCTTTCCCGTCACATTTTTTTTTTTTTTTTTTGGACAAATTTGGTCTAACGTTTCGATGATCTTAATTGTTTTCAGAGGATTCATTAACTCCACATATCATAGTTTATCACTTTTTTATTATCTGTCTACTGCAGTACACTTCGTCAGCTTCCAAGTCTTTAATGCTTGTGATGTGTTAAATTGTTGCAAAGATTTTTTCAGACCAGAAATTGTCCATTGAAACGGTTTCTGTTTCAGTAGTGTGTTTGTATTTTTATTGTTATTAGTCAAAGTGGACAATAAAGTAGGAAATTGAGATCTGCTTCAGACTAGCGTATAAACGGATTGTGACAAAAAAATCAAAATTAAAGACACATCCACCCCACCCCCATTTAATAACGATTGTAATTATAGACAAAGTTGTCATATTTCACAGCCAAGCCACGTGGCCGCATCAAGAACATCTTGTTGGTCATACACTTGTGCCACCAGTGCGTCTTTAAGCGGTTCTCCACGCGGCCTATAGCTGACGTCAACATGACCTCACAACAGTCGGACAGGTTCTCAAAGACCACCCTTGCGCTACAAGGCCCAGTCATCATCAGATCTCTCACTGGGCCAAATTTGGTGAGGATTTCCTCCAGTGTTTGGGGGTCGTAGCCTACGTCGTCTCTCTTGTTTTGCCAGCGAACGCTGAGGGTGGAAAGGGGAAGCTGACTCTGCGACTGGAACTGCATCGTGCGGTTTACGTGGCGTTCGAAACTGGAATCGGAGGAAAAAAAGGAAAATATTTGATGTAAAAAAAACAGTGTTCTTATTTCCACTGGAGTATGATATAAATTGACTGTGATTCCAATCGTTAGGATATTAATCATGTCCGTTCTTGACACATCATCCGGGACATCGTAGGACCGTAGAAAATCATTTCATTATGTAGTCACACTGAGTATATTCATTGCTGGACCTGATAACATGTTTTGTGACTATTTCTATTTGTGTAAATCCCTTCTCCTTAAATCCTAATTACTTATAATAGTATGGCGGGTTTGTGCCTAGCGTTTTGTTTTGGATTCTCTACATTATTTACACACACAGTTTTGACAATTCAATGTCCACGTAAAACGCGCCACTCACATATCTGGGTAGTGGAACACTTTAGGATAGACAGGTTCAGGGGAGTAGTCCAAGTTCAGACGCTGGAGATATTGTTTACGGTGATATCCGCAGCAACCCGGCACTGTTCCTAGTTCTGTCATGGTAGAGCGAGGTGGGGGTGTGGGCGACGCTGGAATGTTCACGAGAACGAGACAAGTAGTTTTCAGTAAAAAAAAAAGATAATTCCATGTTCCTATGATATGCATATATGCAACATAAAAAGGGACAAATAAAAGGAAAGTAGAGATTTATGATAAAAAGACATAGATAACCCTATAAAGGAACAAAAAAAGAAAGACTTTAAAGGGTAAATGCGCCTGTATTCAAACCTTTGACTTTGGTTTTCAACAGAGGAAGAGTCGTAGGCCACCGATGAACGTTTTCATTTATTTCCGTTTCGGGCTCGTATGGGAGCTTCATGTATGTTCCCAGTAAATTCTTGTAAACACTTTCCGCATCTTTGTCCTGAAATACACATAAATGACGCAAAGTAAATGCAGCAATTTATAATCTCAAAATACCCTTGTTAGGTGGTTTTAAAAATCGTTTTGAACTTCTTCTTTAGAATGCCCTCTGTTTGTCTGTTTTCAAAAGCACGGTATATGAACGAATTTTCTCGCCCTTCGACCATCACCTCTGACCCTGATGTGTGTGTGTGTGTGTGTGCGTGTGTGCCTGATAATGCGTGATCGTGATTTCGACGTTTTGCATGTTATAGTCAAGTAATGCTAGCTAATCAAAGATATCGCATTATTTCATCCAAAAATATTTCTTTCTGAATATGAAAACAAAATCAAATAGTTCTCGGAAGGATTGTGCCAGCACCAAGAAGACTAAATCGACTTTCATTTGGCATATTTCCCTTATAGTTACTCCTTAGGCTGATCTTACAAAACTTTAACAAGTAAGAATAATACCATTTATTTAAAGGACTTACATCACTGATTTGTTTGGTCTCTTTTTTGTTTCTTTGAAATAATAGTGTATTTCTTGCACGGACTTTAGCTGGCGGAAACGCGTCGACGCAAGAAATCGTCTCTCTATGCAAATTGTTCAGAATACCGTCTTGTCCCATTGCACCGGTCGTAGCCATTTTGTCCCGCGTCTCACCTCAATTTTGCTCCCACTTAGTCTTTTTTTAGTACATTTTTGATGGAAAAATAAGTGATGCGCCTAAGTTGTTTCTAACAGCGCAGCACCGTGAGAGTTATCTTCATGGAAACACGTTGTGGCGTCATGCACGGGGATGACGTCACAAACGACGTCATAATTAATAGGGATCAGTGTTAAGATCAGTGTTAATAAGAACTGTGAATATATTTTACTGTTTTAAAATGTTTAAAAAAATGTTTTGCACACTCGTACGTCCTACCACTTTCTTGCAATTATTACTGACTTTGAAGATTGAATCATACCGATGTGGAGGGGTTAGAGTATATAACGTTTATTCACCTACTCTTTCTACATCAATACTCTACGTATATTTTTTTTCCATTATCTCTTGCGATATCCTGAAAAACCTCCCATTCTCACTCATTCTCAGAGTGAAGGTCCATTTAACATTTTCTTTATTTTATCAAAAGTAAGCGAACGGAAGAATTGTTTGTGGAACTTTAAGAGCATGAGTCTACATGTAGCAACGTAAAAAATTAAATAACAATTACTAGTTTTATATGTTCTCATCATTAATTAAAACTTATTTTCAAATTAAACTTAATTTTAAACCTTTATTACTGTCGCTCGGAGAACCATTTCACATTCTTCCAAAACATCAAGTGTATTTTACACAAGTAGAAAATCGGCAACTTGTCAGGAAGGGAGCATGGTGTCTAACGTCTAAGAAAATTTATTGAATGTTTATTTCAAATAACTCAATAAATAAATGTAGCTTGCGGCTACTTTCGTGGTGTCGCCGGATTTTTAGAAAATTGAATAACCTTTGTTACGTTTTTTAACACATATCATTATTTTAGTTGTTTGATGTTTTTGGTCAAATTTTGGCCATTAATTAGATTTTCAGTTAATTTTTTATCCATTATTAGCAAGATAATATGGTGACAGGACACAGTCAATTGTTTCAAGCTGTGTTTGCGGCATGCTTTTGTTGTTTCTGTAGCTCCTGAACTAATGTCTACTTTGCCCAAAGAATATTTAACTTTTTTCTTATTAGGCAATCTCCAAAAACTAAGTATCTAAAATATTGTTTTTTTGTCATATTTATAAACTTCACAAAGTCCAGTTTGCAGCTGTTAATGATAAAAAACGTTCTATTGCTACATGACATTACGTGTGACGTCATAGATGTCACGTCATAGATTGTGACGTCATGGTTTCTTGGTGACCGCACTTCCAGCAGCCAACACATCCCAGCAGCAAGTTACAATAGGGTAGGCTCTAAAATACTCTTTTTGTTTTTTACGAGTTTTGTCTTTTAACATTTATTATCTATTCATGCAGAATTATTCCTCTTCTTGTGAATATGTGTGCGATTCCTGGAAGTAAACAACGGATAGTTCTTTATTTTCGATTGTTAGGATTAAAAAATCACTAAAAAATATTTTGATAATCATTTTAGGTAGATTTAGGTACACTGGAATAATGTCGTATCCGGGAGCTGGTTCGGTTATGTCGGAATACGGGTTAAAAGAGCCCACGCCCGCAGAACTCTTTGGTATATGGAAAGAACACATCCGGGTGAGAAACACACCTTGTTTACAGTGTTACCAGTACTTACACGTGTTTTCCAAGAATGTATGGACACTTTATTACACTGGGAATACTGAAAAATGTGTTCGTGATTTCGGGACGAATGTTTTCAAAATTGAAATGACAAAATTTATTTGAATAATTTATACCTTGAGTATACCCGTTTAACTACTGGGGATGTTTAGAAAGAGATTAGATAAAAAGGCAAACGGAAAAAAAGGAGAAAATAAGTGATAATAAATGTAAGAATTTTAATTCTTGGGATGTTTCGTCGTTTGTGCTTCAAGATGAATAATCAGATACACTTTGTTGGCGCTAATAATAGTCATATTGAAATGAATCAATGCATTTTAGTTGAAAGAATGACACCCCTTTTTATTTGATTATTATATGAATTCTTCAAAAGCTGTCATGTTTTTGGACGTGATTTTGTATCTTATGAGATTAGTTTCACATTCAACCTTCAGGCCACAAAGAGGATATACAAGAACCACTTGTCTACCAAAGGAGATGGCTCAAAATGCTGGCCAGGTGTGAGAGATATCACAGCGGAGGACGCGCGCGCTCAGGGCTATAATTTAGGAATTTACAATAACAACAAAAAGGTGGGTATTCTCTTTCTTAAATATGAGCCCGGACTTGCATTCCTAGGACTAGGACATTCTTGTCACACCTGGCCTCATAGCCGGTGATAACAGTCTAGCGTCCACCTCTTAACTTTAAAACTCATACGGGTTTTATTTTAACCGCCCTGAGCGCGCCCTAAAATTACTATATTTGTTTCATCTTTCCAGAATGAGTCTCTGTCGACTTACGACCGTCTGTTTCACACGCAGCACGGCTACGACGCTAAGCTGCACCGTGACGACGTTCACACGCTGAGAGGGCTGAAGATACACGAGGAGGTAGGGGATTGATATGTGTGTGTGTGTGTCAATTTTCAAAAAAATAAAAGATAAATGAAATAAATAATTGGTTGCTGAAAATTTCAACACAATGAAATTTTATTTGTAAATGCAAAGGAGTGAAATTAGTGAATATATCAACTTAAGAAATATCGCGTCGCTTAACTAATAATATACTGTCGGTTTAGATGTATTTTCACATATAGACAACTTTAGTCAGAAAGATAATAAATAAATGCAACTTAATCTAATTTTATAATAGCAATTTCAAACTTATTTTTATTTCAGGAACAAATGAAGCCAGTTCCCACCCTGTCGTCATCCATGTATGGCCACAAGGTAGACAAGCCGCTAGAGGACGCCTCTGAACGCCAGTACGTCAGAATTGAACACGTAATGAAGGGATTTTATCGCACAGGCGGCACAGGACTGGGGGAGAATTAAATATAGGACTGCATATTGTGAACTTTTTGGGATCTTCGTGTTTATTGTATTGTTTCAATTTGTAAAGCATTGTTATTTTAGCTAAATTTCCTGCATTTTCTGTTATTCAACAACTGTAGACATGCAAATCGTACACGTGCACTCTGGTAACCTACGAACTTTCAAAATAAAATCATATGAAAGATTGATATGAAAAAGTCTCAAAATTTACATTTGATGATTTTTGTAAATAAAACAAAGGCCCTGATAAATGATCAATACAACAACAATCACATCGCTAAAATTAGCAATAATTTATTCTCAAGATTTAGAATTAAACATAATGTAAAATAAAATAATAATATGTTTGTTAAAATTATTCAACATAGTAAACACGATTGCAACCCAGTAAATCTTCAATGGATCCTGGACAAATGATAATGATTAGCAAATGAACAGGATGAAAACAAACCATACAGCACTAGGTGTTTGGTGTATTAGCCAAATTATGGAAGACACATGTTAAATAGAACAAAAATAAATAGATGAATAAATTAAACAATTAAAAAGATAAACACAAACATGCTATTTTGATTAAAACACTTACATCAGCTGTAAGGATATATTTTTTCTATCTGTCCAATTTTTTTCACATTCTTACAATTTTCATTGATTTCAATGCATAAAATTTTGACAACTTCATAAGTTTAGCTCACGTGTCTTCATTGCTCTATGAGGTGATAAACCAAAATATCACACATTAAAACATCTGGCGTAAACTGGGTCTTCTTTTGGTTTTCGAGGAAGGACTACCAACATTTCAATGACAGGGATAAAACATATCTGGCAAACAATAAGTAAATATAATCAGCAATTATAAAAAAAAATATTACACATTAATTACAAATACTACTTAAAACTTGATAATATAATAAAAAGAACACATTCTAGCCTTAGTTATCAGTATAATCCACAAAGTTAAAACAGTGACGATGATGATGATGATGATATTAAGAAGTTGCAAGATAAATAAAATGGCATTAAAGCAGCAAAGCACCATTAAAAATATTGTACAATTATAAGTACCCCAGCATAATAATATTACATATTCATAAAACATTTCATATTCAGACAAAAATCATCTGTCTGGTACTGGAGAAGACTTCAGAAACAGCAACATGCACACTTCACAAATTCTTACAACAATGTTGACTACATGAAGCAGATATTGGAACATACCAGCATCACTGAAATTACATCATCTTCAGCAAGGGGTTAATGTAATGCAAATTTGTGACAAATTTTAAACACACATTTTTTCATATGTAATGTTTTGCTATAAGCATAAATTTACTCCAATTATTGTTATATTTTTGTAAGTTTTAACTTACTGTACCTAAGCTTGCTTATCACAAACGTCTGACAGCAGTATTGCACCAAATAACAAAGTGAACATTGAAAAACTGAAGCTGTTTAACAAAGAACATGGAATTGGTGTGCCTGCCACGGAATATCAATAACCACACCATTATCACTACAGTAATCTAACAATTAGTATATTTTAGGAAAAACTTCAACTTGCACATGTCATTAAATCACTGTCTGCTCCTGTTCACATTAAAATCTCATCTCAACATTGAGTCAATAATCACAGATATTTGTATGCTAGATCATCCATCATGTGGTGTGACACCATCACATAGACTGGTCTAACTGGACTGAGTCCACAAACACCATCACATAGACTGGTCTAACTGGACTGAGTCCACAAACACCATCACATAGACTGGTCTAACTGGACTGAGTCCACAAACACCATCACATAGACTGGTCTAACTGGACTGAGTCCACAAACACCATCACATAGACTGGTCTAACTGGACTGAGTCCACAAACACCATCACATAGACTGGTCTAACTGGACTGAGTCCACAAACACCATCACATAGACTGGTCTAACTGGACTGAGTCCACAAACACCATCACATAGACTGGTCTAACTGGACTGAGTCCACAAACACCATCACATAGACTGGTCTAACTGGACTGAGTCCACAAACACCATCACATAGACTGGTCTAACTGGACTGAGTCCACAAACACCATCACATAGACTGGTCTAACTGGACTGAGTCCACAGCTCTTCTTGAGAGGCGCAAACATTTCGGACACTGATTGTTTTTTCTCTGGAGGCAATGCCTGTGAAAGAACAATACAAACCAAACTGTAGAAAAGTTATTAACTGATATCACTGCCTAATTTGAGAGGAAATCAAATATGGATCTGTACAAAAACTATTTTCAAATATTTAAATGTAAAATAATACAACTTAATGCAATTTATATCAGATGCACTTACATGCATTACATCTCACTCTTTAACAACAGCTTCATGAAAAGTTTTATCCATTCAAAACTCATTTTCTTTACTTCATAGTATTGTAACAGTTACTTTTTTGAAGATTTGTTTTAGGATATATTATATGATAAAGTATGTTGAGCTATATTTTATCATATCATATAGCACTAGTAAATTAACATAGTGATATGAAAACTTGTTATACAATATATTATATGATAAAGTATGTTGAGCAGTCAGAGTTAGACGCACTCACCTGTGTAGTACTGTTGAGCAGTTAGCACAGACTGTGGCGATGTTATCAAATGGAAACAGCACCTCGTCCTCCTTACATATCTCACAAATGAACCCCTTCACCTTGCAACGCTAGAATAAATTCAAGTTTTCAGTTATGGCTGTGCCACAGAAGATATGTTAAGCAGTGAATGTAATACCAACCAAGTCATTTCATGTTCACAAATTACAAATATTTTCTTTTTCTCTTTCTCTCTCTCTCTTATGCACACACACACACTCACACACAAAGGGCACACAATTCATACACAAACATCAAAGACACACACACCCATAAACATGGCACACATATCCACAGATGCATGCACATACACACATACAGACACACACACACACACACATACAAATGGACATACACACACATGTACACACACACACACACACAGATACAGACACACACACACATGCTATATGCACCCAGACTCACACCCCCCCCCACACCCACCTGACAGTCCACCTTGATGTGTTGTGCAAAGCTGGTGTGTATCTTAGCCAGTTGTGGCAGCAGTTTGTCCTCTGCTATATCCACCAGGTCCTGCAGGGAGTACATGTCTGAACTCTCCACAAAGTGCTGACGCTCTTGGAGCTGGATATAGAAAATATGAGACTATTTAGTGTGTGTGTGTGTGTGTGTGTGTCTTGGATGTGTGTGTGTGTGTGTGTGTTTAAATGTGGACATGCATGTATGTTTATGTGTGTGTGTTAACATGCATGCGTGTGTGTACATGTGCATGTGTGTGCATGTATATGTATGTTGATTTTTTACTAAATAAAGGGGTGCAATTCAACAATAATATTACACACTTGTTATTTGAATACTGCACATGTCAGGTGCAGCTATTGTGATTGTACAAATATATACAGCTCACTGTTAGTTGATAGTCTATTAAGTTAGTTTGATTCTAAATGCAGAATTAAAAAAAACTAGCTATGAATTTAAATGTGTTATTGATGAAAGTTCTCATTAACCTGTAGTAGTAGTCTACTTTTCAGTGTCTGTACATAAAAACTAGCTATGACAATGTGTTATTGATAAAAGTTCTCATTTACCTGTAGTAGTAGTCTACTTTTCAGTGCATCTTCACAGACAAGAAAGTACTTCTTCATGATGAGGATTTCCTCACGTAATTTCTGAAAGTATAAGTAACTTCATTTTACTGTAAATTGCTAGAAAATAACCATGGTAACTACATGAACACATCAAACTTTCATCACTTAATGTCAACTCTACGTCGTAGCATCTTTGCCTTGTTTTACATTGAATTGCTTTAAATTGATTGCAAATTTACATGTAATTTACAAATGAATTTTAAGTCTGAACATTTTCCACCTATCAAACCCCCAATCATCAAATTTCATTATTTATGTTTTATGGAGTTGACATCTTAACTTCTATATCTACCTTGACCTCATTTAGTTCTTCCACAAAACTAAACAACATGGGGTTGATGTCCTGAATACGCAGCACGGCTCTCTGTAACATCAACCGCAGATACTGCTTGGAGGAGCGACACACCTGACAAAAATTGTAAAACTTGTAGCCAATTTGTAAATATTCTCATAACTTAAAAGTACCAAGGTGAAATAACAAGTTATATTTAAGTTTTAATAGTTTTGCTACTAGAAACCCAGCAACAATGATCAAGTATTAATATTATCATCATCCCTCTCTACATTAGCGTCACTGGTATTTACTTTGGCTTCTTTTCTTTCTTTTTGGCAGAAGAGAGACAGGGAGAGAGAGATTTGGGAAAATATTCTTTTTCTTTTCTTCTTTCCATTTTTGAAGAAAAAGAGAGTGGTAGGGGAGACAGAGAAGGGAGAAGGGGGAGTTCATCTAATTAAAATCATCTGAATCAAACAAAAGAAACTAATGCAATTAGCTCTATATGTCAAGACTGTGTTGTTCTGGAAGTCAAGCCTACCTTTCTGGGTTCAAAGTCCCAGTTGTGCAGAACTCTGGCTGGAATAACAACACTGTCGTTCCAGTGACATAGAGCGCAATAAAATAAACCCGAGTAGTCACACTTCCTGGGCTCACTCTGTCCACGAGGGCCTTCTGGAACAGAACATATACTGCTGCAGGTATACAGTCAACAGAATTGTGTCACAGCACAGTCTGCAATGTGACAGTGTGGAGTTGAAATGTGTTAGTTGTGACAGTGTGGACTTGAAATGTGTTGGGTGAGCATTCCCATTTACTATCTGCCGTTTATGAAAGTTTTTTTAAAGACAAAACTTCCCTTCCTTTTAAAGCTTGAATCTGCTCTTCAGAAAGCAAATCTAGCCGGGACTGTTGTCAGTTTTTATGTACTATAACTTAAGTAACATCCTGAGCCTTACGAAATGTGAGAGAGTTCTAAGCCAAAGACTGTACATAACTTACTGTTAGTGTATGCAATCTGCACCCTGCATTCAGCACACCTATAGCCCTGAGCTGACAGTCCTCTCTCAGGGCAGATATTCAACTGATACACGGGGTTATCAGAAACCTGGGCAAATAATGAAATAATGAATTGAGTTATGGAGACATTTCTGCATTAATTCAATTCAATTCTTATTCAATTTTAAAAGTAAATAAATAAATAAATAATCAGGAATATAGTGCTCAACTTCAGGTAATCCACAGTATAATGGTCTTCCTTCATAAACACTTTGCCTTAATGTTTTAAATCTATCTTCAAAATTCAAACATAAATTAATTTGGTAAACGTGTGCATGTACTAGCTTATTTCATGAACTCACAGTAGTCAATACTTCACCTTTTGTTTTGCACACTGTCTGAGGATGAGATTAATACAGCGCTCATGACACTGGTAGCCACAACCTAGAGAGAACATCAATATTAGTTCATATTAATACACCATTCATGACACTGGTAGTCACAACCTAGAGATAACATCAATATTAGTTTATATTAATACACTGTTCATAACACTGGTAGCCACAACCTAGAGAGAACATCAATATTAGTTCATATTAATACACCATTCATGACACTGGTAGTCACAACCTAGAGAGAACATCAATATTAGTTCATATTAATACACCATTCATGACAATGGTAGCCACAACCTAGAGAGAACATCAATATTAGTTCATATTAACAGCACCACCTGCTTTTAATAACTGAAAGGAACTTTCAGACACATGGGGATACAGACGAATAAAGCCTCACTTAAATGGGCATGTAGTACACTTTAACAAAATTGTCATCAGAGACAAATCTTTGATTAATCTAACTACAGTTCTTACACTTACCTGTACACTTGTATCTGGCCTGCATCAGCCCCCAGATAACACGGTTACACCTCTCACAGTAGTTGGTCTTAGAACTGGTCTGGGTTTTATGTTTGAAGGTATGGCCAAGCACTGTCTTCACGTCTGGCTGGATGTCAGGTGTGTCCTGGGATATGTGGGGTGGGAATGGTCAAAATGAGATGGAGATGTACAGAAAACTAAATCTCAAATGTGTGTATGTGTGTGTGCGTGCGTGCGTGCGTGCGTGCATGAGTGTGTAAATTTAAGGGAGTGGTTTCATAGCTTGAGATGACAGTGTTTGCACTTCCAATTCAGAGCTGTCATAATTCAATAATTCATTGTCTTAAAGGCAAATATGAAACTCATCAAAATGTTTTCAATTATCCTCTTAGGTAACATATACATATATATATATATATATATATATATATATATATATTTTTTTTTTTTTTTTTTTGGAAAGAAAAACTTCAAATAAAAATATGTGTAACATTAAAGTTCACCTGAGCCTCACTGAGTTTTAGCCTAAGCTGCACCAACTTCTTCACCAGGTTCTTTTTCTTCTCCACACTGGACGCCTTCATCACCATATCTTTGACCTGTTCTATGGTCAGCTCCAACTCCTCCAGGGTAGACAGGCCAAAGTGACCCTGGAGAAAGTGACATTAACAATTTACAAACAGACAGAGAGAAATATTAATTCATTTTTTCAAACTCCTACGGTTCATCATGTTATTCATCAAAACTACAACCTTGCCATCAATTATGGTTAATTTATGTTGCTTGCATCCAAACCTTTTGATAAATGCTTTTATCTTTAAAAAAATTAAAAGAATTTGAACATTAAAAAAATGAATTATTATAAAAATAATCGATCATTTGGGGTACATAAAAATCAGGATACACTAACTAGTATATAAAGTCAATGTGAAGCGACCTTTCAAGTGGTCCTCTGTCCCTCCCCCCTCCACATCTGTCCCCCCACCCCACCCCACCCCTATAGGCATTCCTCTCTTCATCCATGATCTATCTTGCTATCTTACCTCTGGCTGGGAGAAATGGTCTTCTGCTAGACCTAACTCAGCAAATGTGATGTCATCTTCGCTGTCTTCCTGAGACTGACGACCAGAACCAGCAGACGTAAAACTGGAGTTCACTCTCTCTGTAAAAACAGTGACACAGGGAGTGAATGTTACAAATGTAAGATCATGGACATTATTAGACATTGAGTTTTACACTCAATATCATGTGAATCAATGCATGGACTTAAAATATCTGTTTAGATATTAGGTCAAAGCCCTTGGTCACCTTGGTCTCTATCAAACAGGTGACCCTCCACCTGATGTCCTTCTGCTGAAGAAGCTAACTCGCATTGTAATGGTAAGCATATACATACATTTGGGGTAAAAAAAAATGCAATGAAAATCTTTCTAGATGTAAAGGGATTATAAGTTATAATAAATATGATACTGTAAGGAAATAGCACATTTTTCAAGATGAATAATTTGACCTATCTGGCAGTGACTTCACTCTTACAATGAAATACATCTGTTTGCTTGACATCCTTTTACTTTTTCCCCACAAAACTACAGCTTAAAATATCAATATTATATCATTTTCAATTAACATAAACAATGAATTAATGCATATTTAATTATCTACTAAGGATATATGACTGCGTTCAGATTCAAACAACATACCAGCTGGATCGTTCCAACTCTGCAGGGGATTCTCGCCTTCAGCTTAATTGTCTGCCATGCCTGCTTCAGTAGCTAGTGAATTAGTAAATGACCCCCTAGTAACTGGAGGAGGCGTGTCAGACATTTAAGCTGATTACACTGATTTCACTTAGGGAGAATCTCCTGCAGAGTTGGATCAATCCAGCTAGTATAATAGGTTTATCTGAAGGCTCCTCATGTCTTTTCATAAGCCATGAATACAACCTGTTTTATGAGTCAGTAGAAAATAAAAGGGATTTGACAGCAAGAAATCAAATCAATATGGTGATAAAAACCTCTTTCATAAGAAGCGTATCTCCTTTCAATCTCCTCTTCCTCATTGTCAAAATGGTCCTCATCCACCACAATGTCTCTGTCAAAGGGGTTGAACCGCTCCGGCCTCATGTTTTTATTTACTTTGTCATCATTCTCCTCTCCGTCAATGGGCCTCTCTCTGACACTTGTCTCTTGTCCTGATTGTCCTTGCTCCTGGGAGGAAGAGCCAGGAAGCCGTGAACTTGGTGTAACTGAGTTCTCCGTGAAATTTTGTGCCTGCATGACATGATCTTGACCAGAAATTTGGGGGCGTGAAGATGGTAAACCAGATTCCAAAAGACCATCTTCAAGGTAGGTCGAGTCAGTTCTTTGTTTTGGGGCTGTGGTTTCTGGGTCTTCCCCAATGGCAGTGAAAGCACTGTCCCTATGAGATGGTGAGGGGAGACAAGCATCCAAACCTGACCCCCACTGCTCATCAAAGTTAACACTTTTATTTTCAATAAATACCTCACTTTTTTCTGTGATGTTTTTATTGTGTGGCCGATTAATATCACTTTCAAGTATCCTGGTGGAATTATTGGTCTGAATATCTTTTTCATGTTCAGATAAAGCACCTTGGTATCTTTCACTTTGTTCAATGGATTTATGACTATTTTCAGTGGAATGCATCAGTGTTGGTTCAAGTAATGTCCCACATCTTTCAACACCTGTCACATGACTGGGGTCACTCATGTCAGATGTCAAAGTGTCACTTGTAGCACCAGTGTCACACGTCCCTGGACTTGGAGCATACTCCTCCTGACAAGCTGGACCCTGGTCAACAGTCACTTGAGCCACAAACTGACCACTGCCTTCATCTCTTGGTACTTTATCTTGTGGCTGTGGAACGTGTTTACAAGCATTGTCAGCTATTGTGGAATTATTTTGTTCAGCAGGCTGTGAGGAATCAGTTTTCATTTGATCTATATGGCTGTCAGTATCAAGACCTTCCACAGTCTTTCTTCTGTGATTATCAGTGTTAGCACCATCTTCATTTGCATCTTGTTCCTTTCTTTGCAGAATTGGCTGCTCCTCTTGAGAACCTGACACAATTGCCTCTGCACTCCCTGTAATTGCTCCTGCACTCCTAGGCAATGCCTGAGAACACTGGTCTACATCTGCAGTAAATGAACTCCCATGATTTTTCTTGTCACTTTTTGGTGAACTTTCATCACATTGTTGTCTTGTCAAGACCATGGGTTGACTAGATACACCAGAGATGTCCCTTTCCTTCTTAAAACTTTCCTCTAATTCTGAATCAGACTCTTCACTGTCATCATCATCATCGTCATCTCCCGTAGTAAAAGTTATTGTGGCTGCAGCAGTCTCTAGTTTCTGGACGCTGCTTGACCGCCAAGATGGCGTCAGTGACCCCGCAGTGGAGCGTGAAATGTTTGAAGACCGTGAAATGTGTGATGAGCGTGTCAGCTGAGAAGATCTTATCATTGGAGCAGTAGTTTCTGTGGTATCATCTTTTGGCTTTTCCATTCCTGGTATTTTTCAAGTCTTAGAATACATGTACAATGTAAATGTGTAAGTATTTATAAATAAACTTTGCATGTGCATGTATTTCTCAATTTACTCAGATCAGAAATATTTGTTCAGGCATTCATGAGAGCTCAGTTTATGCTACAACAAAAGTGATTAATATGGATAAAGTAAATTTCTTGTAAAAAGCTTATCCATAACAGTTATCACAATCAAATATCTGAGCAACAAGCATTGTCCGAGTTGCCATATTTAACTTTTAAGTTCTAGTGACAGTGCAGTAAAAATCGTTATATTACTATAAACAACTCTCAAATATTATAGCATTACAATTATAATATTGGTCTGAGACATACACTTTAATATCAAAGCTAAAACCGATTAAGCGTAAACAGTAAGTGGAGAAATGGACATTGACACTTGCACGATAAGACCTCTTCAGCTGATCAGTGCCTCTCCAGTTGACCTAATTAGAAAGGTCAAGGTTAAGTTGCTGTGATTCGCAAAATTGTCAAAATTGCACACATTTTAATGGCTTTCTACACAATATTCACTCCTTACGCGTTATGTATAAGTTTATAAGTTACAAAAGAGGAGTTTCTGTGGAATTCTCTTAAATAAACTAATTTTAAGAAATGTGGAACGCTGGGATATTACTAAAAGCAGACATCTTGGTTGTGTGTGCTTGCCTAGTGTTAGCAAATATCTTCAAAATGCCTTTTTGGCGTGATGTAGGACTGAAGTAAGTCGTGAAATAATGTTTTTCTAGCACGCTTCACATGGTTCACAGTTTGAGTACAGAAAAGTGAACAGTCATTGCGTTGTCACAAAGATATTTTCATAATAATTTGCAACCGGTGCACCACTGCATTTATCAGAGGAGATGATAGAAAATGTTTTCTTTGCTTTTTATGTTGCTTCGTTTTGTTTAAGTATATCGGTCAAATTAAAGATAACCATGAAAAGAGTCATTTTATCTCTCAGCCTTTGTCTTACATTACTGGTGAAAAGCGTTTGCATAAACTTGGGGGTCACTAATCTTGTGACGCATTTTTGCAAGATGCATGAAAAGCATCTGGTTTTATGCCCATTAATAAAGTAAAATCATGAATTTTCATAGCTTCCCAGACACAATGTCTAACTCTGCTTCACAGTCATATTGTCAAGATATACATTTTAACCAGTTCTCCTGTCATATGTTACAGCTATGTTCAGTATTCCCAAGTCTGTGCCAGAGTAATTAGGGCCTGCCTTAAACCAGAACTCAGAGTTGAGGCAATAAAAAGAGATGAGAAATCTATACGTCATATCAAATGGAAGGACGGAAAGGCTGTTAGTAAGTATTGGGGTTTGGAAAGGGCTACTAGAAAACTCCTGAGTGTTCCACAGCTGTGACTGTTTGGTAGACAAGTGTAATCAAGTAATGGACAAAAAAATGGGGAAAATACCATTGAAAGTTTTAATTTACACTTTTTTCACTATCAAGAGCTGTTGTTTTACATCATTTTTTCTGTCATACTCTGAAGGTTAAAAAGATGTTGATATTTTAGCTGCTTATTGTCTTAAGGTAAAGATTGTAAATCTGCAGTTAATGTTTGTTTCTTGATTAAACATCTGTTATTTTTTATATTTTTAAAAAAGAATAATTCTTTTAAATTTCATATTTTCAGATTAATCAGTTATTTTCAGTCTTGACAACTGTAGCAGTAACTGGCCAGTTATTAAATCAATTCCAAAACCTGTAGTGGGAGTAGAATATCTCAGCATTGCTTGTAAAATTTTCCCTGTCTCTTAATTACAGCTCTTTTACTTGTTGACTGTCATTTAAAGGCGTGTTTTCAACCAAGTTGGCTCAACCCTTTTTGGGGCTGCACAATCCATGGGCTCTTGTAATTCAGTAGAATGAGTATTCAACATCCTCAGGGTAGAGCAAAGGAAAACAGGGCTTTCAGTTAATATCTGTGTCAGCAGACCAGGGTTGCATAGAGAAAAGTCAAAACAACTTAAATGTAATTGCACCTTAAGATTTTGTTTTGTTTTCCTTGTAATTTATATTTTAATACAATTTTCTTGTAGCTAATGGAGAGTAATTTGCAGTACACACCCAGACATTGGATAGGTACCTGGTAATTTATTGTGTATTATGCCATGCTTTTCTTGTGAGCCTATGACAGTTCTTTGCATGTCAGCGACATGTCAGTTGCATGTCAGTGTTTGCTGACGCCAGTGTGTCACTGTGACTGATAGTTTAAGAGCAGGAGTTCATAGGAAAATTACCTTAAATTAGATGTGTGAGAGATATTGGTTGATAAAACCAGTGTGTCACTGATTATCTTAAACCAGTGGGTGATAGAAAAATTACCTTGAATGGCTGTGTTAGAGATATTGGTCGCTGTGCTTAATCTAGCAGGTGGAAGGCATAACAAGAACAGTTTATGTCAACGTGATACAGTACAGGGCTCAACTTCCTTGTGTGTTATTGTATAGCACACCAAAATTGCTTGTACACTTCAACAGAGAAAAATATACTGAGTCGTCTCCCTATTCCCCTGAAAGCACTGATTCTAGACTAATAAGGTTTTGCTCAATAAGACAACATAGGAGGTTGTACCCTGTATTGTGCACCTTTTCAGATGCCAAGCTGCAACATTAAAATCATTACTTGATATAAAGATTTTACATTGTGCAGCTCATGAGAAGTTTTTGAAGGATTATATTTGAGAAGAATTACGTGAAGATTGAGCATGGCAACTGTGCACATGTGTCTGAAATGTTTGTAAAATCTTGTAGAAATTGAGAAACGTATTTGATGCATTCCTTTCAGTTTGGAATGTTTATTTGTTTACTATATGATGTGCCTTTCAATGTTATTTTCAGTTAAATCTGTTAAGTTTTATTGTCAGCATAGTTCATACATTTGACTATACTTTTCTGTTTATAAAAAGCCTTATTTTATCATTTTTCTAGGGTTTTACACTTAGATATGTGTAATATTGCATAATATGTTAATCTGCTTTCTTATGCCTGAGCTTTATATGAAATTGTTTTAACTAATCCTTCAGTCATGAAGTAATTATAACATTGGAATATAGATAACTTTTGTTTTTAGCACCAGTGCATGAAGACAGTTATTTCTTAGTGCATGTAAATGAATGTGTACAAGTGAATTTCATTTTTTTTTTTTAATTATCAATGAAAAGTATTGAAAATTTCTTTGATTTGTTTAATGAATATAAATTCTGATGTTGATTTTGTGGTTGTCAAAGTCAAATTACTTTGTAGGTTTTTTTCTCATGTTTTTCACACTATTATTTTTGGTGATTAAGTGCATTAAATACCAGTACTCTGTTTTGATTTTGGAAGAGAGTAATTTCTCTATGCTCCATTGATACTATCAACATGACAGTGGAATAACTTGATGGAAGAGCTCTCTCCCTTTACATTAGTATTTGATATCATTGTGTAAATTTTCATCCTGAAAACACTTTATAAAGGATATGAGTCACATTAAGTTTAGAACCAACTCAACACTTATTGGTTTACAGACCACAAAAGCTCTAGTTGACCATGTCAGTCAGTCTGTAAACCTTTTAATATCCACCTGAAGCTTGGTTTTATAAAATAAAGTACTTAAAAAATAGAACACCTGACAGGCTTAATCAGTTCAATATGGTTGTCTAACCTAGGGGGTGGTTTATACTGTTTCAGATTTACCACCATGCTTACTGTAAAAGCTTAGCCAAAGCTTGTATGTTATACATAACAACTTCAGAAAGCGGTATTAATTTGCCTTCTATTTACTAGGTCAAGGGATTCTCCTTGCTTCAGGAAAGACTACTATCAGTAACTTCCTGTCATCTTCCATCAAAACCCCAACAACATTATTTACAGCTGATAACCACAACTGCTACTAACTCTGTGTACAAATTGGTATGAAACTTTAACATTTGTTCTCTTCTTTTTCAGAGAATGAATAGTGAAATATATTTTAACCAAAAGACTGCCAAACTGGAAGATTCTTTGTGATTGGACACTTTGTACATTGAGGGCACAAATACCAGGTCAAATTTGGAGAATGGTCTAAGATTCTGTACACTACAGATAGAAGAAAAGGCAGAGAGAAAGTGGCACAAGCTGCAAGGGACCCATTGGATGCCTTGTTACAAGAGAAAAAAATAATACAAGACACTGGAGACATATTTTGCTTAGCTTTTTGGGTAATTTTAGGAAATATTTGAATTCTCTTAAAAAATATCAGGATACTGTATAAACAGTTTTATACTAGGACAAGTTGTAACATTGTAAATGTGAGATGCATCTTGGTGTGATTACTACAATGGCTATGACGGATCATTCTACAAATATGATGAGGAACTTAGTATTGTGGAGATGTCTGACTAGAGAACAGTGCACACGTGTTGATATGTAGATTATTTGCTATTTACACTCAAGAGAAGTGAGACAATAAAACTGTTGAATTGATAAACTGTGTAATGTTCTGCATTAAAGAGACCAAAATACGATTTTGACTTTGGACAACGAAAATTCTGTATTCTATCCAATGTCTTTGGAGTTTTGTGTTTTTTTTTTCTCTAAATACAAACTGTACTAAATTTAACTAACAACAAAATTCATCCAGTTAAAAAGGTATTTAATATATATAATCTCAAAATAAATTCTCATCATCAAGTACAATTCAACCCTCATGATTCATAGTTCATAAAAAAGTAGTATAGAACCTTATGTGAAGGCAATCGAAGCAAAGTCGGGTCAAATTAAGAGGACCGTAAATTATCAAAACTTTTTTGATAATACTTCATTTTGACTCCTGATTCAACCAGAATCCTAAAATCCAGTCCTTCATTCACAAACCAGCAGTAGACTTCATAACTAGTTGATTGACAGTAAACCAGACACTTTTTTATAATTTATAAAAAGTTTTAAAAGGTTCAGCTCCAAGCTGGATAAAAAGTTCAGATGGGCAATTATAAATCTGGACTGTCTCAATCCTTCCCTGTGGCAGTTTGCATGACGGCAATACCTCGAAGGGTCTATTCCCACAACTTAAGATCGATCTATCACCGCGGGGAGTCTCACTAGATTACTGTCAGATAATCCGCCTTAAGTTTCCGTCCCGCCTACTACAAGCTGGAAGGAGGTAATTAACTTTCGTGTCCGCCCGGCTGACAGCTATTTAGCGTGAACCCCCAGGGAGTTAGGTCGATCTAAAGTAGGTTGATCTAATCTATGGGAATGGGGTGTAAGATTTTGCCACTTCTGCATACCTTTAGGATATAGTGTTGCACGAGCTTGGACTCTGTCAAATAACATTGTACAGGCTCCTAGTGTAGTGGTACCTGTACTAAAAGTCTAGGTCCTGGTTCAGAACTGCACTGTCTACAGTCACATTAATCCACAGACTTCCATTTTGATGGTAACTCTCCTGATCACAGTGACCCCTAAGGTGACTGGTTCTGATCCATTCCCACAGCGTCTTGTTTTCCCTCTTTCTGATGTGGTATCAAAACTTGTCAGGGTTCATCATCATCTCCTCCATTACTCTCTCCTCGACTCTTAACACCAGCTCACTGTCAGCTGCCATGTTGAAACTGACAAATACTTGCTTCCCTGTCTTTTTGGCTGAAATTTCAATAGAAACATTAGACACTATTTTCACATGTTCACTGAATATGTGATAGTATTTAGTCTAATGTGATGCCTCTACTGTTACTACTACCACTATCATTATTAATTATTTACTGTCGGATGAAGGGGGAAGGGGGGATAAATGGTTACGTCACCTACAAAAAAAAAAAAGACTAATATCAGGCCTGTAGCCAGCAATTTTAAAAGGGGGGTTCTTTTCCTGAAAAGTGGACCTTTTACCATAAAATCTTAGTGTACCATGATTAAATTTTACCCAGAGGGGACCTATTCCTGGCAAAAAGGGAGGTTCTTTTAAACCCCCCCCCCCCCCCCCCCCCCCCCCAACTGCCCGTGGCTATGGGCCTGGATATGCTAGCATATTAATATAATTAAATATTATAATTTATAACTAAGTGGTTGGAGAGTGGAGTCTACTTAAACGGTAGAACCTACCCAGTTTTTGAGCCAGACTTGTGGAAGTCAGATCTGTGGACTCTCCCAAGACTTGAGTTCCTAAAGGCATCGAATCCTGAAACAGAAGAAATGTGGTGTTTGGTAAATTTTAATTCAGTTTACAAGTGCAGACTCATATACGCGTGCTTTGCTCAATTATTCTGATTTATTCTCAATGCAATTAGCGTTATTGGTCTTATATAGGTTTTGAATAGATCAGAAAAACAGGGGAAAAATGAAGAACGCCAGCAAGGAAACGTGAACATTTATCATGAAAATAATCCAATTAATTATTTCCCTTCGGCTATACCCCTCTTTATTGTAGATGCTTGCAAAATGTTATGTTCTAGACGGTATCTCCCACAAAATACGTTAAGTATTACTTAACGCCCTTTCAACATAACCCCTCCCAAACAGAAAATGACAATGTAAACACCAATTTAACTATCCACTTACGAATCTTGTTGGCATTGCCATGGACAAATCATCCATTTTCGCTGGTTCTGTTCCGATCCATAACATGAAACTGTCGTGTAACTTTAGGACGTGGAAGTTAACATCAGTCTCCTTTAGTCTTCCCGAGAAGTTATACACACTTAACAGCGATTCAGACGGTAAAATCTCTGCAGTCATTTTCTCCTCTGTGTTCTTGTTGTGAAGCACATGTTCAGGTTTGCTCGATAGGTGGCAGCAGCTGGCGGTACCGCAGTCGCACAAACTTTTCTTGACTCTGCAGCCCGTCTGTGAGTCTGCCTGCTGTAAGAGACAAATTTCTACCAAAATATTTTCATTAGTATCTAACTTAATTAAATAGGAACAACTTTTCACATCAAGAGGGTTTTACTTTTAAATTTAGGCAAATTCATTAATGTCATTAATTTTAGTCAACATTTAAATTTTAGACTCGATCTCTGGCATAAACATATATAGCTAGGCTATTTGCTTATTAATTTTTTTGTTTTATTATTTTTCTATATTTTTCTGTGCTTGTATCTTGTAAATATTTTACGAGAATAAATAATCTGTAATCTGCCAGCAGCTCGCAAAATAGAATTAAAACCACTTTTGTTATAGTTGTCTGTGAAAGATTTCTTCAATATGGTAGGGGAGACCGGGGCTAGTTGGACCCCGGGGTAAGTTGGCCCCCCGTCAAATTATGAAAAAGTAACTACGAGGTAAAAAAATTGGCCACACACGGGCACGTTGGCACACGGGGCAAGTTGGACCCTCATATTACCCACAAACCTTTGCGCGCAGCAGAGCTAGAGACCATTGTTAAAACAAACTCGATCGATGGTTTAAAACTGAATTTGTTACTTTCTTTTAAAACGAAGATTTATTATTCGTTTTCATTCATTAAAAACCTGCTGTATACCATTATTAATTTATTCTTTATTAAAACAAAACAAATTCTATTGATAGATATTTTGGTTCTTGCAACACATAGACCCCCCTACAACGTGACGTACGGAAACCTCAATAAATCTGCCTCATTTGAACTATTTATTCATCAAAGACTCTCAAAAATCAATTCAATAAATTAAAAATGTATAAAAATGTAATTCAAGGCGTTTACATGGTAAATTTACTTCATTTTTGTATAGGGGGCCAACTTGCCCCGACCCTGGGGCCAACTTGCCCCGTGGCGGGGAAAGTTGGCCCCCCTGACATCAACTGCGTTTTTTGTCAAATTGCGAGCCATCTGGCATTATATTTGGAAAATAATGACGTTGCATACGTAGCTTAGTTCATATATGGGGCTTACTTTAAAACCGGTTTTGTTACTCTAACTCATTCCTAGTTGGCTCTACAAGGCCAAAAGTGTCTAACTGGGCCAACTAGCCCCGGTCTCCCCTACGAAAATATAGGCTACATGTAGAATAATGTTTGGCCTTTCCCGACCTTAATTACAAAGACAAATTTTGAGGTAAATAATAAAAATTGCTCTACTACGATACCTAAAGTTCAGACTGACTGAAATTAAAATAAGTTATAAATCCTTCTCTCCTGCAGTTGAACTGTTTTATTTCTCACCTATATATTACATGAAATGAGGTAGAAATAAATAAATCAGGAGAAATGCAAGACGAGGAGGCAGATTCTACATTTCAAAAAATAAAGTGACAGAGCCAGCGTTTCCATCTTCCCCCAACGTGCACTGCCCCCCCCCACCACCCCCAACCCAAGGAAAATAAAAAGAAAAAAAAGAAAGAAAGAAAGAAGACATATTTCTGAATTTTGTCGTTTTAGTCTTTTTATTTAATCTTTTAAAATGCGAAGTACATTTTCTGGTCCCCCCCCCTCGTCTCTATCCTCTCTCTCTCTCATTAATACGTTATGTACAGTTCACACTGACAGTACAATACTAATGTGCATGCCGCTGCCCCTGCCATAAAATAAGGTCCTTTCTCTATCTCATCGTATATAAGATTTGCTTTCATGCACCTTTTTCTTCGTCACTCTACTTCTACACTGTATGACGGTAAAGGGGTCTTTTTAATAGCGCACTTGGTAGAAGAGCAAGGTGTTTGTCTTTCAACGTTAACGGAAACATCTAGTTTCTTAACTTTCCTGTCTTTCATTTTTGTTATACGCTATCGTATGTGTTTCGTTCAGAATCTAGTATTCTTTCCGTATTAATTTCATCAGTTTATGAGGTTACGTTTCCACAAATTTCAGTTTACGTTAAATTTTTGTTGCTGATACTTATTTCATTTTATTTTCCTTTCGGTGTTTACGTTTAATTTGGGAATTAGGTACAAAAAATCAATCAGTCTTGAAATTATTATCGTCTTAGTGCAACTTCACCCATCGACGTTCACAGAAGCATATCTGATGTACGTGGAACTGGCTGATATCTTGATCAAGAACCTCCTAACTACATGTAGGACTACCACATCTCTGCCGTCTTATTTTCCGAACACAGATGTGTGAAGGATTTTTTAAAGTTTAAAAG